AAAGAGTAGCTTCGCTTGGCCGAAAGTTATGAACTGTCGAATTTGATTTTCGCCGATGAGAAAACATTCGTAATCCAGCAGTTTGCAAGCCCTTGGGCACGCAAACATTTTGGCCGCAGACCTTGGAAATTCCAGTAGGACTAAGTACGCGCCACCCAAGAATGGTTACAAAATGAGATTCCTCGCTTCATTTCCAGCGCACAATGGCCACCAAAATCTTCCGATACCACTCCGTTGGACTATTGTGTCTGGAGTATTTTGGAAAGCAATGTTGGCACTAAAAAATACCAAAGTGTCGATCAACTCAAGCAAGCGCTTCGCCGGGAATGGGTCAAAATACCGCAGAGCAACATTCGGGCAGCATGTGACGGTTTCATTGGCCGTTTGAAGGCCATAATTCGTGCCAAAGGTGACCAATTCGAAGAAATTTAAATTTTATTCTAAAATTTGATGTTATTTCCGACATTTTTTGCTTTCATGCAATAAAATGTTAAAAAAAATGAAAAAAATATGGCATTTGACTTTGTTGCAGTTTTTTATCTCATCCTGTATGGGATACGATAGAATACTGAGTCTCATTATTTATTTACTTATTATTATTATTTGTTTTTCGACTTTTTTTAATTTTTAGTGGATTCCATAAGTCGGATTAAAAGTCTTTATTTATTTTTTGTGCTGTCAAAAAGGTCAATTTGCGTTCGATTTATTTCGATACTTATCTAAACAAATTTAAAATAAACTTAAGAATTTTAGGAATGCCAGTACATTTATTTTTTTTACTAAACAAATATATATTTTTTATTGTTGTAGTTGAAAGTGTATTGCCCGGAATGTTTACTTTTTTGTTGTTTATAACAATTAATTGCTAAATAATTAATTCGACGCATTCCTATTGTTGTTCTTTTCATGTCTGGATTTCATCTACGTTTTTATTTACCCTATTAAAATGCCAAAGCCAAAATACGTACATATATCTTAAGGAAACAACTTATTTTGTTCATGTCTATGCTCAGCAGTACATTATTATTATTATTATTATTATTATTATTATTATTATTATTATTATTATTATTATTATTATTATTATTATTATTATTATTATTATTATTATTATTATTATTATTATTATCGCATGGAAATGCTAATCACATCACAATTCTTTAAATTCAATTAACATAACTTGACTGATTGCCACTGAGAAATATTTGTATATAAACCGTTTCCTCAGCAGCGACAGCAGCCTTCCTTGTTGTCAGGGAAAAACATATTTCCTAGATGAACAAACTCATTGAGTATCGAAAATGAAAATTTAAATAAATTGAATTTCCATTCAATTACACAGAAACCAATCTTTTAGCATTCAAGAAAAGAAAGAAAAAAACCCCGAAGAATGAGTACCAAAATCAAGAGGTCGAAACACACAAACTCCATTTAGAACAAATGATGGGCGGCCACATTTCAGGGGGGTTTATCAATGACTTTTACATTTTCTCTTTCTCTCCTTCTGCCAATCACCATGTCCTGGCCGGCCAGTCACTCTCCAATTGCCCGCAAATTGTAAATAAACATAATTTAATTTGTTATTATGATGAAGTGGCCTGCTCGGAACTGCGGCCAAGTGACCCGGGCAAATAGGATGTGGTGTAGCCCAAAGAGAGGAAGGAAAAATCGCAAACATACATTTTAAGTTAATGATGCTTAAAGTTTAAACAAGCAAAAGTTTTTTTTCTCATTTTCCTGTCCGCTCTCTTTTTTGTGCTCTCAGGCCTGCCAAGAATTGAACTTTTGGAAGAATGCGGTAGGCATAGCAATTGTGGGCGAGGAAGTTCGTTGGAGAAAAACTTTTTCCTTTCGACTGACGAGTGGCAATTTATTGTAATGTGTTTTACTTTGTAGTTATTTTCTAATGGAATTTCCTTTTTTTTGTGGAAAATTCTCCTGCAACTGAGACATGTTTATTGACCCTAAATAATGCGGCCATTATTTACATTAACCATGGCTCAGTTTGAAAATATTTATCCAAGAAGTTGTTTTGTAAAACTTTTTGCCCAAAATAACATTTCTGGAATTGAATGTGAACTGAGAAGGCCTAAAGTAAAATAACAAATTGTAGGGCATTTTAATAAAGAATAAAATCTATATTTCTTATAACTTACCAAAGTCTTTTGTGGGGTTTAAAAATCTATGTATAACATATGTATGTATTTGTATGATAACATGAAAGGTATAGAAATTTCCTCATTATGATTTCAACATTTTGAATTATTCTTGGCCAGATCTAAAAAAAATTAAGGCATAAGTATGATTTGTGACCCTTATATAAAGCAAACCAATTTTACTTTGACATTATTTGAACCTCTTCTTCTTCCTTTTAATAATCTAAAATTGGCTTTTTCCCTTTTTAAGCTGCAAGTCATTCAAAACTCAAATCCTCTTAAATGTTGTTTTCACTAAGCAAATATTATGAGAATCACAGCAGTTTATCCTATCAAAAGTGTACATACACACAAACAAACTTAAATTTGTCGAATGATTAATGTGGCAACTTCCACAATGCCTTAATCCTCGTCAGACACTTAATACCAATTAAAAACAATTTTTCCTTTCCAACGTACACTTTGGGGGATGGGTAGAAAATAAAAAAAAAAAAAACTCCAATAGCAATAATTTTTGGAGATAAACTTGTGTGCTTTTGGAATCTGACTTGAAACTGCATGGGAACTAAAGTTGTCAGGGTATATTCGTTTTGAATTAGCCACTGCAGGGACGTACACAGAAAATTTATTTCGGGGGGATCTATGTAGCAAACAATTCTATTTTTGATGTAAAATATAATAAAAATGTCAGAAAAAAAACATTTCCTAGGACGCAGGTCCCCAACCCTATGTACGTCCCTGAGTCAACGTATGTTTTTATGAATCTGTACTTAGTTGTGTTTGCTATGGTCAAATGAAAGTTATTTAAGTCTGTTTTGGTTGTGGTCTACAGTTAGGAAAATAACTTTGATTTTCACACACACACATATGGCAAATTTTCTTTCATTTTTCCTGGAAAGAAGTTAATATTGTATGAATTGAAAATACATTAGGCTGTATTACTTCGAATGATTCAATTTACAGATCTAAAAATGAGTTTGTAATTTGTGACTTGAAATCAAGCGTTTTATACCCTCCACCATTTTATGGTGGAAATATTCATAATAGACCCTACAAGGTGTATATATTCTGGATCAGCGTACAATTCTAAGAACATCTAGCGATGTCCCTCTATTTGTCTATCCGTCCGCCGAATTGAGATAGAAGCCTAAAATTTTGCATATATGCATAGTCTACTGGTAGGCAGGTTAAGTTCGTGAATGGTACTTCCCGATATTCGGCATTTTTATGATTTAAAAGTCTTAATATTAAAATATTTAGTCCTAAATTAGAAAAGGCGTGATGAAATTTCAATTTTTTGTTATGGATAACTCAAAGTAAAATCTTTGAAATTCAAAAAAAGTCATAGTAGTACTAAGGAGGTAAAGATATGCAATCATAAGTTTACATTTTTTTTTCAAAATTGTACAACATTTTTATTTAAAAATCCGTAGTATATACACACATCAGAGATGGGAACCTGTTTCCTATGCAGTTAAAGTGGGCAGAATTCCTTTTGCGAAAATCCAGATCTGGAATGAGATTACTTGATTTCATTGTACCATGTGAAAAACTCTGCATTTTTTAAAATAAAAATTCAAATTATAAACATAAATATTTGAATATCGAAACAAAAATTCTAAATTTTTAATGGAATAATTCCAATTTCAAATAAATGTATTTTTATGCTTATACTATTACGAAATTCAAAAATTCAAATGTAACAGTACGTTTATATATATGAGGATTAACCCACTGGATTTGGATTTAAATTGTCATATCCATTACTTTTACTTCAAATAAATCCTCTCAAAGTAGGTTAACCCTACAAAAAGTTCTAACGTAAACATGGCATAAAGCTTCTAAATTTGAATTTCAAACGAATGTGTTTCGGATTATAAATTAAGTATTTTTTAAATTAAATTTAAAAAAAATCGATTTTCAATTATTTTTAGAAAACGTTTCGTTTGAATGACGATACACTCTACTGTCCCCCTAAACCACTGGACTTCTTTATAGGTTTAAACCACAACTACCAAAACACACACACACACACACATATTCACACAATGTTTAATAAGAAACACATTTACAAAATGTTAAGACATGAGGAATTTAGGATTGCAGACCACAAACCGTTTCTGGTGAAATGACAAGACTCTGAGTTGTTTTAACTGGAATCAATTCAATTTTATAAATGACGTTGCAAATTTTTTTCCTTGGAGTTATAACATTTTATATAATGTGGTTTCGTCTCATATCAAAGAACATTAAGAATTAGTGAATGCGAACACAAAATGTTATTCCAAATGTGATTTTCAAAATTTTGATTTATCTCAAAAAAATATAAAATTTGAAAAACTCTTTTGGAATTGGGTTTTTCGCATTTACATTCATATCGTCATAGAGAAGAGACCCTTTTTTATTCGTTATCTTAAAAGTAGTTTTTGAAAATATATGTAGATAAAAAAAATATTAAATTTATAAATTCCAGAAATATGCTCTCTCCATATGTATACAATTTATATGTGACATATAGGTATTATCAATAAATATAAGCTCCTTTTTTCTCTCATCGATTTAATCATAGGAGAGATTAACACAACAAGCTAATAGATATACAAGTAAAAAAAAAGAGTTCATAAAAATTTTCTCAAAGATTTCCGATTTTGTAATTTTTCATATCTTGAAATCAAATCTCATTATTTCATAGCTCAACCTCATTCATCAAAAAAATCTTAAATTACATTTCCAACATCCATCACCACCACCTTGCCATTTTTCTGTTAATATGCTGTGCTCAAAAATTGAAACTAACTAATTCGCTTCCTCTTTTTTTATTATTTTTTGTCCATTAAATTACAGAACCCAGAAAAGACAAGACTGATGCACAGCACGGTGGTAATGGTACCCTGTCCCCAAATACCGAACAGCCACCATGTCAGGGCTCTATGCTGCCTCCACCAGGTGGCGGCACTGGAGGCTCTCAACAAAATCACTCACATATGGTTAGTGGCCGTGATCAACATGATTCTCATTCACAGAATTCCAAAATGGAAAGACCCAATACATTGGGCACCAACAAATTGGCCAGGCGTGTTAATGTCTGCTACGAACACTGTAAGTACTTCTAATACCGCACCCACCCACATTGGTTGTTATATCTCTGCTCTATCTACGAATGCTATAAATTAGAATATGAAAAAAAAATAAAACGTTTTGCTTTTGAATTGTCACAGGGAATGACATTTTAAGCCATAAAGCTTAAACACAAACACTTTAAAATGTTTTAGGAACCACAAAACAATAAAATAGAAACACAAATAAAAAGGGCAGAACGGAGAGTTGAATTTATATCTGAGGTCTAGCCATAAACATATAATAAATATAATATAAAAGCTCTTCTATCGGATAATAATTCGTCGGACTTTTACTTAAGTATTCCGTACGTCATTTATAAAAGACATATAGAAAAAAACTTAAACAAGAGATCCTAACGAATAAAATTTAAACTCTGCAAAATTGCTTAAATAAATATTAATGTGGCAAAGAGTTGATCGAGGTCGTGAATCCAAAAAATTACAGAGTTAATTAACAAAGATGCCACCTTTCGTTTTATACGGGATATGCAATAACAAGACCTTATGCTCGAATAAAACTTGAGATACATATTTAATAAATTTTTGAAAAAGACTAAAAATTCATAGAAAAGCAAGAAAAACTGGAAGACTGATTTGAAAATGTGTAAATCCAAAAATACCATCTCTCTTGAACTACTCTTATTATCACGAAAGTGTTGTATCAAGAAACCCAACAATATCCAATAATTCCGAAATTGCAATGCATTAATATCAGCATGTAAAGCAAATTTATAACCATTGTATTTCATTCTTATTTACCAGGAAATAAAAAAAATCCCAATAAGAAAAATCCCACACAGAATAAAAGGTTTATAAAAACAATATTCCAAATAAATCAATAATGCAGTTTCCTTCCGCCGTTTGCAGAGCCAAAAAACGGACATGAAGCTACACACAACACACATGTGTGTGTGTGTATCAATGTAGTAGTGCATGTGAAACGTTGTACGAGTTTATATCAAGTGTGTCCATATTTTGTGGTTTCAGTGTGGTGAAAAGCCACATTGCATACACTCACACACACACACACACACGCACGCCAACACTCATACCATCCAGTAAATTTTTTATCTCAAAGTTGACACATACATTTTAAGACCTGCCATAAAAAGTATTAAAAACAATTCCTTTTTCTTCTTGCGCTTGAACCGTAAACCAATGTAAACTGTTATGCTTGCTTTTCATGTCCTTTGCCCCCGTTCGTAGGTTTTTCTCTTTACTTTACTTTTTATAATTTTTATGCTGACGGGAAAACGAGAAATAAAAAACCAACTTTTTTTCCTGCCAACTGTAATGGTCGAATCTTCTTCTGCTGCAGTTGGCGTTTTGTGACAATCAAACAGTCTGGAAAAATAAATGATTATAGGGCCACTATGGCCCACTTTGTGATTAATAGAATTTCAACTCAGAATTAAGGATATGTTTTGACGTTTTTCTTTCAGATCCCGACGGCTCTTCAGGAAATTCCATGATGGGTGGCCCACCCGGTAGTACGCCCCCACCATATGCGGATGCAGCCGGCCACCATCACCACGGTGGAAAAATGGTTGGCGGTGTTATGCTGTCCGAATTGCCCGAACCTCCAATACCATTGTCGGAAATTGGACCCATCCCACCGCCTCCAATGTTTTCGACGCCATCGCCAACATTAGTGGCTGGACGACCGCATGGGCCGGGCGCTGTCAATGACAAGGATTATCAGCCATACGATGATTATGGTAAGTTGAATTTTATCAAAAAATATATATATTCATTTTAATGTTATATAAGTATATAAGGAACATAGAAAAACTGTGCCGGGATGATAACAATTTTGTAAGGAATTAATTTTATGAAATTTGTATCCTTTTGCAATTTAACTGTTAGAATTCTTTAGACAACATTTGTCATAATTTCACGGTGTATTTGCAATGATATTGGCCTCCTAAATGATATCTCCCCTTCTAAATTATAAAGTACCCAATATTTAATGACTTCCTTATTTTTAAGACAAGCTCGTAATTACATACCCACGCTGCTGTAAAAACGAGTTTTGCCTGAACTCTTATTAGACATTAAAGAAAATGTCGTAAATTCATTTTCATTATCTTTACAAGCACTTCATAGTAAAATTTTATTCAAACACTGATTACTTTAAAACACAGTTTTTTTGTGGCAGTCAGTTTTAAGGGGAAAATTGAATTATCTAATATCGATAAAACAGGGTGAAATGAAAAAACTGCAACCAACTTCAGACTGCTGTCATTTGTAAGTCACTCGCCCGATTGTTGTTAAAATTATTCCAGTGATAGCTCATTATATTGTTTACAAGCGTAAAAAACGTATTTTGGTGTGAATTTTCTAGAAAAAAAGTTATTCTAGATGGAATTCAAGCGGGATAGTGTGATTTCTTTATATTTGGCTGAAAAGCCACAAGTGGCTATCGTTAGAGCACTCCAGCTTTTAAATGTGAATAAATCGTTTGAGTCTCTTACCATCGCTCGTTACCGTGATACTGGTAGCGTAGCCCGATGTCATGGAAGTGGACGGAAGAAAACAGCAACATCACCAGAAATGGTTCGAAAAGTAGAGAAGCGACTTGATCGGAACCCGCGTCGCAATGGCCGAAAAATGGCTCGTGAGCTGAACATATCGCAATATTCCATTCGGCAATTATTGAAAAGTGAGCTCGGGGTAAAGTCATTGAAATTCCCAAAAGTGCAAGAACTTACACCGCAACAGAAAGAAAATAGACTCAAAAGAGCTAAAGAGTTGCTTCGCTTGGCCAAAAATGGTGAACTGCCGAATTAGGTTTTCTCCAAAGAGAAAACATTCGTTGTCCAGCAGTTTGTAAAGAAACAAAAAGATTGTGTTTACTTGCCAAAGAGGTCAGCTGAAAATGTGCACCTTCGGTTGTCCACCAGAACTCAAGCGCCGGCCATGGTAATGGTGTGAGCCGCCATAACAGCCGGTGGTCGTTCTCTGCTGGTATTAATCGACTGTGGCATCAGAATAAATGCCGAATATTATAGCGAAAATATTCTGGATGGTGTATTAAAGCCTTAGGAATGCGAACATTTTGGTCCCAGACCTTGGACATTCTAACAGGACTAATCACCATCGCAATCGGCACGCACCACCAAAATCTCCGGATACCAATTCGTTGGATTATTGGAATATTTTGGAAAGCAAGGTTGGCACTAAAAAATACCAAAGTGTCGATCACCTCAAGCAAGGTAATGGCCCAAAATACCGCAGAGCAACATTCGGGTAGCGTGTGACGGTTTATAAATCGTGCTAATGGTGACCAATTCGATCAAATGAAAACTTATTCAAAAATTTGATGCTATTCCCGACATTTTTTGTCTTCATTCAATAAATTTGAATAAAAAATGTAAAAATTAAGGCTGACTGTTTGCAGTTTTTTTATCTCACCCTGTATATCAACATGAAATTGTAATAGAATGATAAAGAACCATTCACAGAAATAAATAGAAAATGTTAATGCAAAATGTCCCTATTTGAGTCAGTAAACCATACGTTATGTATAAATTCCGCATATGAATAAGAAGTTCAAAGGCAAACTCAATTTTGTTTGCCTTCAACCAAAAAGTCAATTTTTGATTTTTCTTTGTCCTGTTAGGTCGAATATTATTATATTTTTATGATTTTATTTGTTTACATCTCGTTGGGCAGCGGGCTTAATTGTCTAAAATTTGCATTAAAAATATTCTATTTCGATTCTAGAAATTTTGCCAACAAATTATAATGGTATTTGGTATATATTATTAATCAAGTAGAAAATTCCTGACTTAGATCCTATGAAAATAAACCTCAAACAAAAATATATTGTCGAAAATCGTTTACAAAAACCCGCTGGGTCCATATAAAAAATCCAATAACTGAAAAGTGGAGTTACATACAAATGTATATCAAAATTGAATATTACCATTTACAATATCTTTTAACATTCTATCTCTCAACACCTACAGATAACGATCACGATCATGATGATAACGATTCCGATAATGATTACAATTATCAACATTATCCAAATCATATCGATACACAACGCATTGAGGAAATTCCAGCCAAAGAGCCCAAACCAAATGCAGTTCCTCTCAAATCGGCCCTCAAAAAGAAGCCCGGCCACAATGTCAACTCTTCATCGTCGCCAGCCACGCCCGTGCAGGATCATACGAATGCCAATGGTACATTGCCACAAGGAGCTGGAAATTCCAGTGGTGGCGGCAGCGGCGGTGGTGGCGTCAACAGCAGCAACAACAGTGGTATGGGCAATAATTCTAGCCATACCTCAACCAGTCATCAGCGTCCATTGGTAGTGAGACAGGATGCTACCAATAGTTATAATTTAAAGTGAGTAGCATGTTTTTTCGTTCTTTCTTTCCTTTTTTTGTAGAATAACATTTAACATTTAGCTAAACAAATTACTCGAATTTCCTTTTGTAAAATACAATGTCAATGACTTTAGTTATGAATGATATCTCATTTAGAGTAGAACATTTTTATCTCTAAAAATTAAAATTCAATTCAATTCGTTTGTAATCTTGTTGTTTGGTTATCTATTAATTTCAATTCAATCATATAATAATTCAAATCTACCTTTTTCTTTCTTTCTTCCCTTCACTTGTCACCACCAAAAATCCACGGTATATTATTGGAAATTTGAAAATGTTCCCATTTGACACCATTTATTACTTTTTTTTTAAATAATCACTTCCATTGTCACAACCACCAACCCAAAAACCCACTAACCAACGAACCCAACCAACACCCATTAACAATTGACCATAACAAACCCCCCCTTCGTTATTTGTTTGTCCTCTGTTTTGTGTGTGTATCCCAACAATTTCTATTATTTTGTTTCTTCCTTCTTCCAAAACAATTAGGCCCATTCTACGACCACGGATTAGAATATGGTAATAATTTAGATTATGTTTTTCCTGTGTAAAATCGTTGCAAACAAAAACAATGAAAATATCAAAAACCAAATACCTGCTCTTTATATTGTGTGTAATGTTCCTTCTTTGTTGAGTTTTTCTGTTGCAATTTTTTTGGTTGGATTATGAAATTTTCTTACTCAAATACTAAAATTCCACAAACTCTGTCCAACACACATACACACCACCTGCCCACACCTTAGCACAATTTGCCAATACAAAATTTCGTTTGAAACACCAGACCGCCCACTCCACCACATCACTTTTAATAGAGATTTTCTTTTACTGAAATGTTTTCGTTTTGTAACTTCATTTGCTGTTTTTTTTTTTTTTTTTTTTTTTGTAAATAATCATGAAATTCAATTTCGCATGGCTTTTTAGGATTTAGTAATATTTTATATGCATTCAAGAGATGTAATTTATTTTTATATGGCTACTGTAGTTGGTTACGACGATAAGTCCCTTGAGCATAAATGCTTTTAAAAATTTTTCAAATACCTCCTGGAGAGAATATGTTAAAAAGCAGTGAGAATCTAAGGCGGAAGGACCAGTAATTTTTGATAAGACCTCTTAATTAAAAAAAGCAAAATATGTACAAATTGCAAATAATAAAAAAACAATGCTGCTCTATTTATGGCTTGTTGTTTAAAAACCTTGTTTTGTTAGGAAACAATTTCATCAATTATTTAAAAAGTAATCGTTATACCACGTTACCATAATTAAAGCAAACTGCTTCGAAAGATTACAGCTTAACGGTAAAGTATCCTGACAATTTATTACCAATCATAAATCACCAAACCCCAGTTATTCCTACTCCAACATTAATTGCCGGAATCGACGAAGTGCTCCTTGCAGCCCACCTGAAATCATCCACTTGAATTAGAAACCAAGCAGTAATAATTGGCAATTGATTTCTCAAATGTCCTTATAGTTCTCCATTTTTGCTTTTTGAATAATCTTGAGGCAGATTTGATTGTTTTCTGTAAGGACACTTAGATAAATGCAAAAGAAAAGAAGAAATACTTATTTTTTGCGTTTCGAGTGCTTTAGTCAGTTAAGTCTGTTGCCTACCTTAAGGCTGATGGTGTTGGACTTTGCTTAGATTGTTGCCATCATCATTTGTTTGTACCACAAATACATAAGTGGTTTTTTTAGCAGAACTGAGTCTGTGACGCCCGTATTTCTCGTTGTTATGTGTTGTTTGTTAGCAACTCACGCGCCGCTAACGTTTGTTTTTTTTTTCGTTTCATTTTTTTTCTTAATTTTACAAATAACAAAGAAAACACCTACGAAACAATAATTATGGGAATAAAGAACTAAATTAACCTTCGCAAAGCAAATGGAAGCCGGAAATATTGGTCACTTTGCATTCAATTGAAACAATCCGTTAAAAAGCTGCATGAGATATTTGAAGGCAAATGAAATCATTATTATTTTAGAATAAGTTTAGATTTGTTTGAATTGATCACCTTTGGCACAAATTATGGCCTTCAAACGGCCTATGAAAACGTCACACGCTGCCCAAATGTTGATCTGCGGTATTTTGGCCCATTCCCGGGGAAGCACTTGCTTGAGGTGATCGAGGTGCTGGGTCCTGTTAAAAAGTCCAAGGTCTGCTGCCATAATGTTTACGTGCCCAAGGCTTTAATACACCTTCCAGAATATTTTCGCAATAACGTTCGGCATTTATTCTGTTATGGCGGCCCACGCAATCACCATGGTCAGCGCTTGATTTCTGGTGGCCAACCGAAGGTGCACATTTTCAGCTGACCTCTTTGTTTGTTTACAAACTGCTGGACAACTAATGTTTTCTCATCGTAGAAAACCAAATTCCGCAGTTGACCATTTTTGGCCAAGCGAAGCAACTCTTTAGCTCTTTTGAGTCTATTTTCTTTCTGTTGCGGTGTAAGTTCTTGCAGTTTTTGGAATTTCAATGGCTTTACGCCGTGCTCACTATTTAATATTTGCCGAATGGAATTTTGCGATATGTTCAGATCACGAGCCATTTTTCGCTCGTCGCTTCTTTACTTTTCGAACCATTTCTGCTGATGTTGCGGTTTTTTGCAGGCTGCAGTTTTTTCATCTCACCCTGTATTTTCACTATTATATACCCATTTTCTGCCGGAATTATTTAAAATTTGGAAATCGTAATAGGTGATCCCTTCTATGGCTGAAAATTGCGTGTATAGATCAACGTATTCGTTTAACCCTCATATAAGGGTACCTCCTGATATTCAGTATTTTCATGATTTTAAGAACATTTCTCTCCAGCATTATTTCAAATTGGGTACTTGGTATTTTGATAATTTCAATGGCATTTTTCAACGGCATTTTTTGCATTTTACAAGTTCTTTCCATATGGTGAAGGGTATTAAAAATATCGACCTGGCCAAACTTAGCTGCTTGTTTCCATATTTTCTATTCACAAGTTTTGATTCTTTCAGAAAAATTTTAATTTTCTTTTTGGTACGAACAAATTCGTCTAGTTATTCCCACAAATTCACATAGCCTTTTCTGCTTTTGAACCCGCACAAGTTTCTCAAAGTTTATTTGATTATTGAAAACACGTTTATTGCTTTTCTAAAAGCTGTCTTTGAAATCGAAAGAACGCCTTTCTAACAATATGCTCACGAAAAATTCAATTGTAAAGTCGTTTTCATCTGCAATGCTGTGCTGCTTTCACGGGATGCAAAAGCAGTCGAGAAGAATATTTGGCATTTACATTCATTGTTTGTAGAAGAAAGAGAGGAAGAACTGGCAACGTTTTTGAATTGTTCGCCGATAAACGAAAAAAGTCAATCGTGTTTTACTATTCCGCCAATGTCACTTACTGCTGCTGAAGCCATATGTTGATGCACTCATGTGTGGCACCTAGTCCAAAGCATCCAGCAGTTCCATTACAAATTCTCCTCTCGAAATGTTTTTGAAATTTCCCGCATACAAAACACACCCGTTGTCCTTGTTGCTGTGAATAGCAATATTCGTATTTATCACTTATATTTTTTGGGATGGGTGCGTAAAGAAAGCTCCTCAGAATACAACTTGGCATTGAGAGAAGCGTAACAAAACAATTTTCTGCTTTAGACACTACCTTTTCGTTGTGTGTTCTTGTGGGCAAATCTCCTTGCTTTGTTGATTGAGCCATGAGGAAAAACGAAATTCAATATTCACTGAACACAAATACTTGAGAGTGAATAAAAATGAATGGCATGCCGGAAGACAACAGCAATGGAGAAATTTCGAATTTTATATCCTTTGTAAGTGTCATATTCTCACACGCAGACACAAAGGAAGAGCTTATCTACAGGATTGACTTACGGTATTCGTATTTCATCGATATTTTTGTTTCTCTTTTTCCCTGAAAGTAGAAAAAAATAAAGCAAACCTTTAAAAATATTTAAATTCATGCAAAATAAGGGCTTAAGCTCACCATGGTGTGTGAGGTTATTTGCATGACATGTGTTAGTTTGGGGAATTTCTCATCCTTTGAATAGAAAAATGGGAGACTATGGTCTTCCACGTTCCAAACGGTGCGACAAATTGAATATTTGAGATATCTTATTATAGCAAAATAGTCAGGCGTAATTTCAGTATTATTATTTTTAATAAAAACAAAATTTATTAATAGGTGGAGAAAATTTACAATGTTTATCAGAAATGTTAGCCTGCAGGAAATACCAAGCAGTTTTAGTTTTCATTGATTCATCTTCTATTGAGCTTGCGTTGATCACTTGGGAATAGAAAAGTTTTTGTCATAGGCACCCTCCAGAATATTTTCGTGATAATATTCGGCATTTATTTTAATACGGAGAGCGACCATCGGCTGTTATTGCGGCCCACACCATTACCATGGCCGGCGCTTGAGTTCTGATGGCCAACCGAAGGTGTACATTTTCAGCTGACTTCTTTAGCAAGTAAACATTTTGTTTGTTTACAAACTGCTGGACAACGAATGTTTTCTCATCAGAAAACGGCAGTTCACCACTTTCAGCCAAGCGAAGCAACTCCTTAGCTCTTTTAAGTCTATTTTCTTTCATGCACTTTTTGGAATTTCAAAGGCTTTACCCCGTTCTCATTTTTCAATATTTGCCGAATGGAATATTGCAATATGTTCAGATCACGAGTCATTTTTTGGCAACTGCGACGCGCGTTCCGATCAAATCGATTCTTTATTTTTCGAACAATTTCTGCTGATGTTGCTGATGTTGCAGTATCACGTTAACGAGCGGTGGTACGTGACACAAAAGATTTATTCACATTTAAATGCTAGAGTGCTCTAACGATAGCCACTTGTGGTTTTCCAGCAAAATATAAAGAAATCACACTATCCCGCTTGAATTCCATCACGAATAACTTTTTTTCTGGAAAATTCTCACCAAAATTCTTTTCTACGCCTGTAAACAATATAATGAGCTGTCACTGGAATTATTTTAACAGCTGTAGGACGAGTGGCTTAGAAATGACTGCAGTCTGAAGTTGGTTGCAGTTTTTTCATGTCACCCCGTATTCAACTAAAATTAATATGTGACCTTTTCCCAATGTTTTTACTTTTCTATCCACTCGTTTGATCCCTCTGTCAGGTGTTAATACCTGTGAAGGCAAGTATTGCACATTATTGCCCTAATATGGTTCAGTCACTTTTTCCATTTGACCTCCAGCTGTAATAAACCAAGAACCCTGAACACGTCCAAAGGTTGGCTCATTTCCTTGGCTATCAAATGAGGCAACCATTTTAATATTTAATGATTTTGAAATGTTCACAGCTTTTTCACTTTCTCAAGAACACCCACCGGTGTACAGATGTGTTTCACATGTCTACCACATTTATCTACTTTTAATATTTCTTTGGGCAAACGGAGGATGGATCATGTATTAAGATGTATATCGGATGAATGTAGAAAATAAAATAACTAAACCTACCACAAAAATATGTGGGTTTGGCAGGGTTAGCGGTTAGTGCTTTATGGCACACATGAGCATCCCATGTTAAAAATGGACAATTTCAAGATTAGTTTCAGTCGATATGTCAGAGTTCAATTTATTATTATCTTATGAACTTTATTATTTCAATTAAATAAGTTAGATTGATTATTGAACCACCCACCATTTACTTGAGGAGCAACAAAACTCTTTAAAAGATTTTTTCTAAGTTATGACACTGGATCGTCTGTGGAATCAGTGCTGAGTCCCTCTGTTTAAATATGTTGAGTATTGAATATAGGTAATATTGGCCAACGTTTAGAAATATACCTATTTCAGCTCTTATTTTGAATTTTCGGTAAATGCGATATAATTTCAGCAATGGATTTTGAAGGTCCTATACATGTTCTCCAAATGAAACTGAATTTTGATGTCTTAAAATTATAATGGGTATATATTCTAAGATTTCGACATTTAACACAGAAAAGACCCGGTCCATTTCACCCTCAAAATCTGCCTTTAAGAGTAGCCTACTGCAAAATTTCAATAGGTCTATAATTGAAATCTGTATAGCAAACACAAAATTATTTCCTCAACTGAGTCTGGCGATAAATCCGGTCTGTAAAGTGATTAAAAATGATTCGTCGACATAATGTGATCGATATACTGAATATAGAGTCTAGGGCTGATGCTTCAAATTCTCACAAACTGTTGTATAGTGTCATGCAAGGGTATGAAAATTATCAATAATTCGGCAATACTTAGGACCCATTTCTAATAATAACGAGGATTTCCAAAAACATTGGCATTAAAATATAAATTGTTCAAAAATAATTCTCCGACATAATTCAAGTATGTCCTTGCGAGCTGATACCCATGCTTCAGCATAAAAACATAAGTTTTATCATTTTTTTCCTTCGCATTCGGTACTGGGTTGCGCTTATTTTTACACGAAAGGAGAAATAAAACCCTGGCGAAATACAAAATAAACAGAAACTACAAAAATAACAAGAACAACGACATTCTCTTACAGACACATCTGCAAAATTTGTGATGGTATTAGTTTGCAAATGCCAAGAGATTTGTACAACCATTTGTCCGAAAACCGGCCGCACTCCCCCAACCCCCATTTCGACATTAGTCTATATCAGTTTTCTTCATTACTTTTCCTTTTTTTGCACAAAAAAATACATAACGAAGGATGTGCGTGATAAATTACAATCAAATGCTGTAACAGTGTCCATAGACATCGAAGGAGCCAAAGAGAAAAAGCTTCAGAATTTTCCCATTATTTGTAATGATCTATTTGGGCGAAATGTGAAGATAAGGAAAATTGCTGTATTTTATTTAGTATTGCAAATTGGATGTATTACTATGAGGACAACTACTTATTTTATGAATGCGGCCGTACCAGCAGATGGGTTGGCAGCTAAATTAAGAGTTTTTCGGTTGTCCACTTCTGTTTCGGCAATAATTTAAGTAATTAACAGCAGATGTTTGATTTTAGCCAATAATACAAAGTATGTCTCGATTATCTGATAAAGAAGTCGGTGTCTGATAAAATTAGCATTGCAATTCAGTTGAATAAGCCATTACATTTCACATCCCAACAGTCATTGTTCATATTACTCATTTTGTTGATTGACATGAATTTTAGTCGTTGTCATTCATTTTCAAATTGAATTTGTCGAGAATCAACACTTCAGACAAAGTTAATGGCTTTTGAATATTCTATCAGCATCACTTCTGGGGCCATCTTCACGCTCCTCCTTTTTCGTGTGATTTAATTCACGCTAAGCACTGCTATCCTTCCGTCTTGTTTGAGGTGTTTTTTTTTTTTCTTTTCGTTTTGAAATATGGCAATGGCATCGAAGTGAAGTACAGTTGCTCATTTATTATCACAAAAAGAGAAAAAGGAATTGAATTTTCAAAACCTACATTCCTGAAAAATATTCAAATATCTATTAAAAAACACATACACAAATTTAGCTTAGTTTAGTTTATTTGATAGCAAATCATTTGGATGATGATTAAGATGTTCAAGAAAACCACAACATTTATTGCCTCTCCACTTTTTTCTCTTGAATGCATGTCGTTTTTTTTTTTAATCTAAGATTTAATTAAATAACCACAACACAATACATGTTGTAAATATTTTATTTTCTAGTTGTATGTAAACTTGGTAATCGTTTAAGAGCAACACTGTTTCTAATTAATTCATGCCTTTTTTGTATGTGTGCTTTCCCCTTTTTTTTTCAATTGTATGTTCACGCCCAACAGTAGGCAACAAATGTTCAATATTAATCTGCCATGCACCATGGAGAACAAGGAAAACACTCGGCCATTTGTGATACGCGAGAACAGCAGTGATAGCAGCGATGATGACAACTCACGCATTCTCTATCGTGATGATGACACATCACGTCAGGCGAAAATCGCCCGCAAGGAGTCGCTCTCATTGAAGCTGCAATTGCGTCCGGACAAGCAGGATCTAATCAATCGCAACATCTTGCATCCCGTCAACGACAATGATGTCAAGGAGTCGAAAGAAGCCATTGGTGCACGTCTCATTAGGCGCCTGTCGATGCGGCCGACAGCCGATGAATTGGTGGAGCGTAACATATTAAAGAGTAAGTAAATTAACTTGAAAATCCCAGGCGCACACTGACATTTATTGTTTTCTCTCCACCCAGCACAAACACCCGCCGAAGAGAAAAAACAGAAAGAAGAAAAGAAATCTTATTTATTGCGTAAATTAAGTTTTCGACCCACCGTCGAGGAGCTTAAGGAAAAGAAAATCATCCGATTCAATGATTATATCGAAGTGACTCAGGCCCACGACTACGATCGTCGAGCTGATAAGCCATGGACAAGACTGACACCAAAGGACAAGGCTGCCATACGCAAAGAGCTAAATGAATTTAAATCATCGGAGATGGCGGTACACGAGGGCAGTCGACATTTGACAAGGTAAAATTAATTGGATTATTTAATTTGTTTACACCTTAATCTGACCCATCTGCTGTAAACCTATGGTGGCATGGGCTTAATCTCTCTCAATTACGTTTCCAATTCTATGTGCAATGATATTTTCCACACACCATCGCCATCGCCAACGTGTGAGGGTGTGTGTTTGAGTTTCTCAAACGCAGTCAAGTGAAAAATTACATTTTATTTCCGTTTCCTCTTAAACTATGTCCAAACATAAGGATATGTGGATGTATGTACAAATACATACATGAACGATGGTTATGCATAACAAACACACGCATATTTCCAGCACAATTGTACAAAACACATAGTTTGCTATAAAGAAAACAATATTTTTTAACAACCCTTTCTGTCCCTGCAAACATTTGTCAATAAGTCAGTGACTTGTTTTCTTAAAATTGTTGACAATTAATAATAACAATTATAATCTTATCGATAACAAACACGCCTAATATGCAGTTCCTATTTTTCATTCAAGCCACCCATTGCGGACGAATGTAAATTTGAAAATTAGTACCAAATTTTTCTCAACTCACACTTGTAACTGCTCGCCAAGATTAAGGCGAAATTGTTTGTAAGGCATAGTGTTTATATACGATTCAAATATCCAATTTTCTTGTTTCGTGAAGGCCGCTAAATAACATCAGTTTTTAAAAAATTAAATTTTTCTAACATTTCTCGTTCAATCGTTATTAACCATTTCCCCATTTCTGGCTTTCTTTACAGGTTCCATAGGCCATGACAATTGCAATGGCAACAGAAATTATCGATAAAAAATCCATACCCAACAAAATTTTGTGCAACAAAATATAAAAAATTTTAAAACATCAATAAAAGTTACAACAAGAAGATAAAAAATCTACCAAAAAAATTGTAAAATTACGCAGAAAAAATAATTAACAAAAAAAAAAAGGATAGAGTCAGCAAAAGAAACAACAACTCAAGAGATATACTTGGAAATGTAACAACATTAACTAACAATTTTGGGTTTCAAGAAACAGCAGCAGCAACTCATCACATAAAAATATACATCACCAAAACGAGGATATGAAGAAGTACTTTTCAACACATGGCAGTGTGGTTTTAGCACGTGGGGACGAAAATGGTATTTCTGGCGCAACAGTACCGATACAGAATCGAGATCATCTTTGAGACAATTTTTTTTAAAAACTTTCATCATAAATGGATTATCGTAGTCATACATTTATGTGTATTTATTTGAAATTTCAATTTATAAATAGTTATTGTATTTGTTAATATATACTATATTGACAATTGTTTGTTTAATTTGAGAATAGATTTGGGTTACCATTAACAAATTGGTAATTATCACAACTTACAGATATGTTTATAATTATTAATAAAAGAAAATAAGTAATTAATATTATTTAATTTTTTGTTCGTGTCAATAAAACAGTAATCCAATGCTATTTTGTTCCTGTAACACAAACATTCGTAGTGGAGTTGATCTTGATACGTTGCTCAAAAGCCACCATTGGAATTGTCAAACTCGTGTATTATGTACGTTTAATGTTGACAATTCTATTGCTAATAGATAAATTTCTATTCATTAGGAACGGAAATCATTAATTTGGTTCGATCATTCACGTTTTTTTTTTTCACACATTTTCTATGCCAAATAAATATTCCTTTATTTATGATAGTCTTTCGAAAGTAACCATGGTCATCCTCTCCATGTGTGGGGTCTTCTTTATAAAGAACAACAATAAAACTCAAAAAAGTTGTTTGTAAATCTAAGCTGAATTTTAGTTTTTGGAAATGAATGTTAATAGCAAATTAACATGTAAACAAAATTCCATTAATATTAAAGCTGATATTTATACAAAAAATAAGAAATTTAAATTAATTTTAATAAAAACAATATTTAATATTAAACACACAAAATATTATGGAGTCAACCTAAAAAATATTGTTAACAAAAGAAAACAAAACGTAGTGAGAAAACAATAATCATCCCACTTTAAAATGAAATCTTTTGAAAAGAAAAACATTATAAACCGAAGAAATTAAAAAAAGAAATGTACTAAAATCCAGTAAAACTCCCCTATAAACAGGTAAACATTAGTTTTGAAAATCCAAAAGTAACAAAAAACACACACAAAGATAATTAAAAATGAGCAACAATTGCTTATATGCAATCGCTTACCAAAAGTACATTGTAAATATTAAAGGTTTGTCTTTCTTTTAAATTAAAATATTTTTTAGTAATTAATTCTAAAATTAAAAAAGTTACGTCTTATAATTATATATATGTATGTTTTGCAATTGAAAAAAAAAACAATTCTGTTTTTATAAAAAGAAATACAATGCTAATTTTAATTCTTGGATTTTGAAGAAAAACAAATTTTCTATTGTCAATAGTTTTTGTTAGGTTTTTGTACGACTTAATGTTTCTTAGGGCGAAGGCTATTAAAAATCTTTTTTTTTATTGAAACACCATTGCGGAATTTTAAGTTTAACTGGCTTATCATTGAAAACGACTACACTTTCACCACCACAATGTTGTTTGAACAAAAAAAAGCTAACTTGTTTTTCCGGTTTCTTAAAACGTCTCTGGACGAACTCTCCCCTGCAAGCAAGTAGTATCGATGCTGTTTTCCTTCCAAAAAATGTATTGTTTATTGCCATTTTAGGAAAAATACTAAAGTATTGATTATTATTCATTTTAATTGGGTAAGAGAAAACACATCGAAAATGTATTACTCAACTTAATAGGTAGAACCCTTTCGCCCTGCAACAAGTCATATTTCCAATTTATTTGTTAAACTGGAATTAGAAGACCATTATTTCCTATATTTTCTATTCTAGTGTTTTAATTTGATTTTAAAATTTGAATCTTTACTGGCAAAAAAGACGTAGGAAATAACTACATAAACAATAAACAACATAAATTAGAAATTTTGTTTTTCTTTAAGAACACAAAAAAATTACTCACCATTCGATTTGCAAATATTTGTGATTTTTTATTAAATTTGTGTACAGTTTGTTTAAAAAATATTGTATAATTTTTAAGACGTTTTTTTCTTTGTAAATTTAAAATTGCATCTAAGTTTTTTTTCAATTACAAAATAGATATTCGATTCTTTTGTATATTAAATAATGTGTTAAATGCTAATACTTATGTAATTGTAATTATCATTTTTACCACCACAACTACTTTCCCCGTATCAACTTAACATACATATGTACATCAAGGAGAAACAAACATATAACAACACCACACCCACAATAAAACTAACATATACTTATATAGGTATATATATTTTTAAAAATTAGAAAACAAAAACATTATGTGAGCCAAGTGAAAAATAAAGTCTTCATTTAATTCAAAATAAAAAAAAAACAATTTTTATTATTTTCAAATTAAACTAAAAGTTCAACTCTGTCCACAGTGCACAGAGGATGCACACAAAGGCAACAGAAAAGAATATTTGTCTTAATTCATGATTCACAATAAGCGATTTGCATCTAAAGATTCGGATGTTTCCGAAGCTCATCTTTCAAGTCTTTAAAAACTGAAATAAATGACAGCCAATTGTTGAACACCAAGTGAAAGTGGCATTTGTAACCACTAAGTGCACGGCTTAACAACAACAGTCAATCCGATGGAGAAATTATTTGAATAATGCAAGTTACCTGAAATCTTGAGGTACTGTTAACACATATTACGGGCAAATATTTGTCTGAAAATGTAGAATACTTCAAATAGTATACTCTCTATTTGAGATTAAGTCAAAACTTGAACCTAGGCTGATGATTTTGAAAGAATTTTCTCTGAAATGTAGTTTATTGGTAAATACTTGATCTCGTAATGTAGTGTAAAGGATTTTAGGTCCCATTTTCCCATGAAAACGACTCTGTTGCACAATGCTCCAGTGAAACATCATGTTGTATGGATTGTAAGTAATATTTTAATAATGTCTAGGCTCAATATCAAACCCAATCAGCCACATTTCGAAATTTCTTGAAAAAACAATGCATATATATGTGATGAACTCGTTTTAGCATACTCGGTTAACCATATCATGAATTTAATAAATTCTTTTATACCCTTTATTTTTATAAAATATTTTTATTTTTTTTTATTTTTATTGTGAACATATAATTTCATAAGAGCATTATGCCAAAGGATAGGATACGGTGCATCCTATTTTAGGCTATGAAATTGGCTGTAATTTCTCTAACTATAAATACACATGTTTGGAAACCATTTTTATTTGAATTAATTTGGTACAATGCTCATAAATAGGACGACATAACATTTTTACATTGTATGAGGGGTATTTTTGTCTTTTTTTCGTTTGTAATACAATAAAACAATCATTTCCGACCGCATACCGTATATATTTTTAATTAGAATAAAATTTGAATTGGATTTAGCGGAGTCCAACCGTCACTATTATGTGGGAATAGGGGTGTGAAACCGCATATTTACACACATGTGACTTTTGTCTGCAGCCAGGTCAAGATCGAAGATTGACTATATCGATCAACGTCAACGTATGATATATAACAAGACCTCCTGATATTTTGTATTTTTACGATTTAAGCCACACATCCCAAAGGAAAAATTGATATTTGGAATAAGGGATACAAATGCCTGTGGTAGAATATTATATATATTTGTTCACGTTTACAAGTAGCTCCGTTCAATATCTCCTAAAATTTCGTATTAATTATTATGATTTTAACCACATGTTTATTGGGAATGTGGGTAGCATTATATCTTATATTAAACTGTCTATATGAGTTCTCGTTGTCGCATAACCTCCAAAGAGTATCAAAAATTAGGAACGGTGAAACATAATGCCTATAACCTGTTTTAGCAATTTTTTGTTTATAATTATATTATTAGCATTTACTGCCAGTTTCTTCCACTTGTGTTTTCTAATTTTAATTAAATAGTAACATATAATTCCAAATATTGTCAGTTATTATTTTAATCCCGATAAAATAATACAACCAAATAGCATGTTATCGAACGGAGATTGGAAAAAGAGTGTAAGATTTCAGGAACATATAACTTGCTTCGAATAAATTGCAATCAATTAACAGTTCATATAATTATTCTCAGTAACTTGTACTGCTGCAAACATTTATAAGACAGCATTTAGTAAAATGTAACAAAAAAAGATCAGTTCCGTGCCACTCTTTAAAATTTGTTGAGATATTAGAAGTGGAATTCAAATTATTGTTCTGAAAACCAATAGTCGTCCACAAAACAAACGATTTTAAATCTGCAGATGATACTTTGTGAGGTTTGGCAAACTCTCAGTATATCAATTGTCAAATGTTGCTCTCCCAGTAATTTTTGTAATTTTCGTTCCGAAGTTCTTAAAATTCTGCGGCAAGCGATTGTGGCAAAAGCTAACACACCTATGGCGATTACAAAAAAAAAAGAAAAGTTATAGACTTACAGAGTTTAAAAATCTCTAACAATATGTGAAAAATAAAGTAATTTGAAAAATAACTCAGTTTTAACGACCAAGTCAAGACTTTTTACGTTGAACGAGTGATAACATCGTTCTGTTTCCCTTTGTCGATTACATTCCTTCAATATTTTCTGATCTAAATATTTTCCTTTGTATAAATCTCAAATCTATGGAAAGCTATCACCTAATTATTATTTTTTTATTCATTCATACTGTGAAATGTATACAAAGCATTTAGGCCAATTAAAGCGAATATAATATGCTAACAAAATGATATACAAAAAATAAAAATAATATATACAAAAAATTAGATCTGAAAAAATCTCTGCGTAAAGCTAACAAGTTTGTTTCAAATAATATGCTACAAGACGGTTGAACTACTCCCACTGGACAACACTCTTCGACATAGCCAGGGCTATCTGGAGCCCGAACTTTAACTGAGTGCTTTAATTCATTCATTCAATTTCAAGCACTTTAATTCATCAGACATATACAGTTTTAACAAAAAAATATATATACCTAAATGAGTTTTTAATTGTCAAACATATTTAAAGAAAGCCTTAACAAACTGGCAACTATAAGAAACTACGAAAGAGAACTATGTTTGAAAGAAAAAAAAAAACCAACCAAACATATTTTCAAGACTATCAGTAACTCGACAAATTAAAAATAATTACAGCCTGACCACAGTATTGAAAATATATTGGACAACAAAGGTTTTTTAAAAAAAGATTTAGTAAGAAACTTTGCTACATACATATATACTAAAATATATGAATATAGAATAGAATTTATAGTATTTTTTCAATGAAACATGCATAGGCGAGGTGAAGCACATGCATCAGCAACTAAAACAAATTTAACAAACATAAAATGAGCAATACAATGTCTGCATCTTTTGTCAGATAAAAAGAGCAAGAATAAGTATTTTTACCATTGGTATTGAAATAAATGATTTTAAGGCAAATAAGAATTTTGTTAACAAAAAAAAAATAGACGATCGTTTTGTAATGGTTAAGTAATTACACACATACATATAAATAATCTTAGTTCATATAAATATAATAAAATCGTTAAATAACATTAATCTAGAAATGAAATAAAAGCTCGCGGATATGCTCGTGACTAATTATTAATAACATACATACATAAAAATAAACAAACAAAAACCATAGTGTTAAGGTACAGAGTATTTTTTGGTCGATTGGTCGAAATGTTATTGATGCTCAAACCGCGTGATTTTTTTTAACATTTTATTAATTATTTTATTATTAACTATTTGTGTATTTTTTCCAAAATGTATTAAAAGTGTTAATGTAAGCATTCCGGAATACACGCAGCAATCATATCCAAATCCAAAAGAATGCGTCGATCTACAGAATTAATATTTACACCATTGAAATTTAAAAAATCTGTAAAATTGACGACACATTGTGCAAACTATTGCTTGTATGTGTATGCAGCTACTTTGGATGGGACATTCTTTACAAAAGATGCCCTGTTCCAGGACCTGCAATAAGAAAAGTATTACTACGATAACCGGTTTTTCCTGTATGATATCGATGATATCGAAAGTAAATCTTACAGATTCTTGCAGTTTTTTGAACAGAGCAGTTTATTTCCGAAAAGTTTTCTAAAATATCAATAATAAAACTATTTATTATTGTCATAAAAATTCGTGTATACGTACACATGTCATTTAAATATTTGTATATATGTACATACTTATTTGCAATTTGATGAATTGATTTGAATGATATTCTTGTGAAAGACATTTCACCAAAAAATATATTTTTCTTTTTATCACATTTGAATTACACTAGCGTAAAAAAATTTGTCATTAAATATTTGGTATCGTATTTTTTTGTTATAGTTTCTGATGATAAAAAAAATTAAAGCTAGTTTCGCAACAATAACTTATAATTTTAAAAGAAAAAATTAGTTTTGTGGTGTTTTTTGTTTAAAAGTTGAAAAAATTATTACATAATTGGAAGCATTAGATCATTTACCTTTGAAGTACGTCAATGTTTACAAGTTCAGCTTTATCAACAATGGAGTATTATATCATCTAAAAAATATGAATATTTATATAACACATACAAACACATACATATAAAAATAAACATAAATGGCACAATTTTCTATAAGATGTTTAAAAAAAATACATACAATTAAAATAGATGATAAACAATTAATTGAAAAAGCTACACTAACTATTAAATGTATGTGTACATTTATTTGTATGATTTGGTCGACTGTCTGTACATATTCATAAATAATAAACTTAAATAAGAATTTTCTCTTTCGTTCCGTAGTATTTTATTTCTGGTAATGACTTAAAATTTTTAAAAACAAACCAAAATTTAAGTCAGGACTCAAAATTTGTCCTTGAATATTGAATACAATAAAGAACATATTTGAAAAATTGTAATTGTATAGTTTAACCAATAAACATATTAAGAAATGAATTAAAATAAAACAAAACTGCAATAAACAATGTGGAAAATTAAATTCAAAGTTATTCTTCTGAGTGGATTTGGATAGGGTGCATTCTTACAAAAAATAATATAGAACAAATCCAGGATTCCAATAGAATATACATCAAATGTTATGATTTTGTGTGTTTGTTTGGACACTCAATAACTTAGTCATCAACAATTTTCGAGTTGTCCGAAGTTTTTCAACGCAAATTATGAATATATGCAATGTCCAATTTGTTGTGACTTCGAGTTCAAGTGTCCTTTTATATCACACAACCAGCAATGAACTCATTCATCTCTACTAGATTCATGAGAATGCGCATATAAATATATTCACTGTTAAAAAAAAAAAACATTTCGCAGAAATGTTGAGAAAAAATATAACCAAATTTACCCAAATTATGATCAACAAAAACTAAAGACTTTGGGGCATCCCCAATCATCTCCCGCAAATCAGCGGGAGAACAGAAGAAAAAGTAAATCCCCTTTGCCACAAAAGAAAATAAATACATACACACGCCGTACCAAACTGATAAGCGGAACCAAAAGATCATTAAAAATCTGCTGTTATAAAAAGCTTCCCCTCGGTTTAATTGACGCACACACAATAACTACATCTAAAAGCGTAGACAACACATCATTCAACGAGAAGATCACGATGAATGTAGCTCTAATAAAATTCTTATCTTTGCTGACACTGGGTAAGCAGAAAAATATAAGTGCTAGTATTTGACCTCCTTGGTAAACAGGATTTTTATTTAGCTATATGCCATTGCGATGCCATTAATATAAAACCACGCAGCAGCTGGGGAGCTGTGGCAGCACGTTCTCCAGCTCGAATCAATGGTGCTGTGGACTATGTTATTATTCATCATTCCGACAATCCAAATGGATGTAATACGGAAACATCCTGCCAACGTCTGATTAAAAATATTCAGAGCGACCACAAGGGCCGTCGTAACTTCAGCGACATTGGCTACAACTTTATTATAGGCGGCGATGGAAATGTATACGAAGGCAGAGGATGGGGATACCAAGGCTCGCATGCGCCAAAGTACAATCGCAACAGCATTGGCATTGTCTTCCTGGGCAACTTTGAAAGTAAGACGTATAAATATAAAATATGTATTGAAGTATTTTGTATAACTTTTGTGCACTTTCAGGCAATAAACCATCGGAAAATATGTTGCAAAATGCCAAAGACTTGATAGCTGAGGCCGTAAGTGGTTGATACTTAAAAGAAAATTATACTTTATTGGGACATCGTCAAACCAAAGCAACGTCATGTCCTGGTACAGCACTGTATAATGAAATAAAAACCTGGCCTCATTGGAAAAACATTTAGGCCCTAGTGAGAACATAATGAATTCTATTAAAAGTAACAAATGGATTAGGCTAGAAAGTGATATATAATGCCATATTTATGCTATTGCTAAAATATTATTAAAAAAAAAAAACAAAAAAAACAAAATAAAAACTTTTTTTGTGCAAAATAAAATATTTATTAAAAACATATTAGAATGAACAAAGCATTTTTCCTTTCTAATAGTAACAGCAATTAAGTTTCTACTCAGTCTATCCAAGATCTACTTTCTTAATAAACACTTTGAAATAAAGCCAAAGCATTTGAAAATTGTACAGACTCCCAAAAAAAGGTGGTTTTCCAAAGATAAAAAGAAACCCATAACACATTCTCGAATATGTCCCTCAAAATGAACCTTTGGAAAAGAATTACGTTGGACGAATTCGTTGTAAGAAAAATCGTTAAAGACACGAATCGTGGATATTAGAGATTAATTAATTTAATACTAAACCTATCTACATTCAGATATAACTTTAATAAGGGGAAAATTATAAAATCAAAATTTATTATACTTACATATAGGGGGTGGGTATTGCCTTATTTTTCCTATATATTACTATAATTAATTGCCAAAGAGGCAATTTTACGCCATTTCACTTCCCCTTCTTCTACTAATGAAGACTAAAAGTAAATTTGACCAATATATGTTAGGACTTTTGTTAGATATCGCATCGAGTTTATAATTGCACATTCCATTTTCTTACTTACTTTTGAGCGTTACATATTTCTTAGACAGACTCCCCTCCAACTCCCGTTCACCAACCACTCTTCTCAAAGAAAAATAAAAACGAATGATTTAATTTTTAGGAAGGTTTTATTGATTAATGAAACCATGTTTTAATTCTTTTCAAAAATATATGCATGAACATTTTATTAAAAATAGTTTGGATTTGCATTAAGAAATGATACGGACAAAAAATAACAAGTATGGAAAATACTGCAAGGATATGGGGAAATCGACAAATTCTACACAATGTTTATGTCCCTTGAAATAAATAATGGTCCTTCAAAAAAAAACCACGCGATTATCTTTGAAATACAGCTAGGAAAAATGTGGAAAAAGAGGAACCCAACTAAACGTCGAAAATATCCCTACTATGTCCTGACATAAGAGTTATCCACTGCTGCCGAACCATATAGTCCCACGCTGCCGTCAACACTTGGTGTCCCACGCTGCCGTCAACTCTTGGTATCCCACGCCGCAGTCAATCCTTGGTGTCCCACGCCGCCGTCAATACTTGGTATCCCACGCCGCAGTCAATCCTTGGAATCCCACGCCGCAGTCAATCCTTGGTGTCCCACGCCGCCGTCAATCCTTGGTGTCCCACGCCGCCGTCAATACTTGGAATCCCACGCTGCCGTCAATCCTTGGAATCCCACGCTGCCGTCAATCCTTAGAATCCCACGCCGCCCCTTCTTGGAGTCCCACGCTGCCGTCGATGCTTGGTATCCCACGCTGCCGTCAATGCTTGGTATCCCACGCTGCCGTCAATCCTTGGAGTCCCACGCCGCCGTCCATTCTTGGAATCCCACGCTGCCGTCAACACTTGGTATCCCACGCCGCCGTCAATACTTGGTGTCCCACGCTGCCGTCATCACTTGGTGTCCCACGCTGCCGTCAACACTTGGTGTCCCACGCTGCCGTCAATTCCTAATTCCCTCGTTGCAGTCAACTGAATAAATTTTCGATGTACGCTGCAGACAAAGTGATACTCTTCCCAGTATAGACACAAGACAAGAAAAATTGGCTGACTGAATAGTTTACGCTACGCTTTCCAAATACGAAGAATGTTCCACACAGATAACCAATGGAATAGTTCCAATGACTACAATCAGAAGAAGTTCGTAATAGATCTGGACCCATATGCAGACGATTCGAAATTGTTTGCCGCAACGCCAGTACAAATGCAAATTTTTACATCATGATTGTAAATTGTGTGTTCTACGATTATTGTATCTCAATGTTCCTATTGTATATCGGTTGAGTTTCTGCATTCACCAGAAAATGCAACATGAAAATTACAGTACGTATTGTCGGAAGAACGGTCGAATGCATGGCTCGAGCAATTATATTCAAATGCATCGTCTTCCAGTTAAAAAAGAACCCGAGATGGTGAACATTGTATCCATACAAATTCGGGCTACATTCATTAAACGGGATGGATGAGAAATTCTTCACAGAAGGTTGCAAAAAGGATTTGCGGTGTTGTTTAGCACCATTAGAGAAAATGATTAAAGTTGTAATTTGGTAATCGGTTATGATGATGATGTTTGATGTGTTAATTCAGCCGCTTTTGAACTGTTACCTCTCACTAAGGTGTGACTACGCATTTATAAGCAGCTTCGGTGGTTGTCTGATAAAGTAGTACGCCCTTCCACATAATGAAGTAGGATGGGTTGTGTATTTAAAGTCATTTACGATGGCCGATTTTGTTCGACATATCAATTCAAAAACCCCTCTCGTTGCATACGACTAACGCAATGGCTTGATGCAGGGATGATGATATCATTTAAGATTTGTGTCAACAAGAGCTGCAGAGACTTTGCTGTCTAGAAGACACAGGAAATTCGGGTGTTGGTATGGTTGGTGCACGATATGCAAAATCGATGTTTCAAGTTTCAAAAACGAACTTTTGCAGACGAACACGGACATAAATAGCATATTAGGAGTCACAGGTAATCTGTAACATAGCCAGGAATGAGAGCTGCTTATACGCTCCGTTGATCTTGCTTTCGTCCATTGCATCAATTTTTGTTCGAAGGGGGTGGTGGTTTGATAACATAATTGAAGAAACCCAAAATTAGATGTTTGCTTTCACAGGAAATTCTAAGGCACACACGTCTCCCATTATTTTTTTTTTCTATTTTAATCTTCCTCGCTTTCAGTCTCGGCATTCAACTATAATCATCTCTCTGGTAATATAAGGCATATTTCGGATAGAGGGTATTTCCAAATACTTGAAGCTGCAGTTGAAGGTTTATCTCACTCTATTTCGCTACCCAAAAGAAGCTCGGTCGAATACAAATGTCATCGGTTTGGTTTCTCTAGGGTATGTTGTTTGTGTGTGTTTGCAATAAGGATGTCCAGTTTATGTTACAAAGTTTAAATATAGGCATAACTACGTTTGACAAAGTTTACAATTTAGAGGTTACATGGAAAAATATATAGTTTAAAAACAATAAACTTTGTTTTCGTCTATGAAAATATTTCAGAATTACAAAACTTTGTTTAAAACAGAATTTTTCTATAAATATGGAATTTTGTTTCATATTTGATTGGTTTCTCTCCTTGTTTTCATTTTTTATACATTGTGAGAGATATTTTTCATACAATTCATTTGTTTTTGGTTCAACAATTTGTGATACTTTTTGTCTTATTCGTTTAGTTGAGAACATGTCTATCTATATAAGTACAAAATAATGTTCATATGACTCGAAAACTTATTTACAATAACAACTAGTGACAATGTTGCGCAGAAAAGGAAACATAGAAAAAGTTGTGAAACAAAAAGCAGGAAAGTAGAGGTTACAGGTGCCGTGTTTCTTGGATTCCCTTTAAGAAACATATGGAGTAGAGTAGATTTTAGCGGTTGTAGGGCCTGCGAGTTGTTGTATCGTATGGATTCCCTTTAACGATATTTTGTAGTGTAGAATTTAGCGGGAAAAGAAAAACATACTCAAGAAAGTTCCTCAAAGAACAGAATAGAAAACAACGCAAGACGGATTCCTGTAAATGGTATCATTAGCGTAAGGAAATGTAATAAATACAAAAACCTGTTGTATGAATAGCTGTCGAGAGTCAACAATGGCTGTAGTCGCTCAAGCAGCACATCTATATTTTTAAGTCCCACCGACCGAATCGAGTCAAGTGTGCAAAGATAAATTATTTCTTCCATCTGTAATTTCATCATCAACGTCACCGATATGTCATTCTTTCAGTCCTCAGAATTATTTTATAGGCAAGTTATATACAGGCACCGATCAACTGTATCATAACGCTAAAATGTTTTACAAAAAATGCAAGAAAAGCAATACAAAAAGAAGACAAAAACACGAAACTAGCTGCACAATAAAGCTCCGTAGCAATATCGGTAAAATAAATCAAGAGCCGGGATTCGGAGATACCCAACGAACATCTTCTCTATCCTCCGAAAAGGTTATGCACAGGCACCGATCAACTGTGTCATAATTTTAAAGGCTATAAAAAACATAAAATAGAAACAAAAACAAGAGACAAAACATTCTGTTCGCTGTTGTCCCGCCTGACTCCATGCAAAAGGTTGTTGGTGACCACATTACTTTCAATCAACCCTCTCCCAGTAAATGTCTAATTTATGCACAGGCACCGATCAACTGTGACATAATAAAGCTAAAAAAATATAAACCACAGTAAAAAAGAAACGGAGAACGGAGACGAAAAAAAAAAACAGAAAAGAGAGCAAGATGAAGTCGCGCCATGTTGTGAGGAATCTTCTATGGTTCTCTTTTATTTTGCCAAGAAATGCAAACAGGCACCGATCAACTGTTGCATTTATCTATAAAAGTTATAGAAAGCGAAGAAACAAAAAAAAAAGAGAGAAAAACAAAAAGCAGATGGTTGTGGTGTATCCGCCGCGCATTTTGACCCTGTGTCCAGTCAATTGGCTCTCTCCCAAAACTCAAGATATTTCCACAAGCATTATGCACAGGCACCGATCAACTGTGACATAAAAATGCTACTAAAAATGATAAAAGAACAGAAAAGGGGAAGGAAAGGAACGCAGCAGCAGCAGCACAGTGAATTACATACTACAGACTCGGGGAATTTGATGTATCTTGTGACAGCGGAAATTTCGTTTCATTTATGGTTCCATTTCTGATGTGTGGCATTTCTTTTTTCCATTTATATACATCTCTACTTTTGAACAATATGTATGCTTACACGGCTGACGGATGTTTGAGGCGATCACATGGGAAGTGATCAGAGGAGAATTAATTTAAATGTTTGCGATTCCCTTAGCATTTTAAGTTTGGATTTTGGACAATCTTTAATGAGACATGGTTAGTTTTTTTCTCGATTCCTTTGATCCTTTATCATCAACAGTGTTGTTATGTTGCCACACAAATCGAAATTGCCAGCAATTTATTTAGTTAATATTCTGTATCAAAATGGGGGATATTATATTGATTTTATACATATGCGATTCCCTTAGCATCTTTAAGCTTCGCTTGGCTGTGCTGTAAAAAATTAATTAGTAATGATTGGGTCGTGCAGAGCTTACTTTAAAGGAGCATGTCGGTCATCATGTTTATACTTGTTCTCGCAGCAATAACATCGGCAGGAACACATTTAAGAATGGCGTTGTTATTGCACGGCTACTCAAAAAATATATTAGCGATTCCCTTAGCTATATTTTTTCGGGGTACCAAGTCACTTCTCGATTGCTGATTTACATGCAACACGGAAAAGACGATATCATTTGCGATATATAGAACTCAAAGCTGAAGAACAATGTTCTGTGCCCAGAGGTGGGCTCTGCTAAAGAGAAAGCAACTATTTAATTTATGTGCACAACAATGTATCTCTGATCGGCGTGAGTGCAATTATTGATGATTTTTGTGGTATATTAAGTTAAAAAACTTTCATCACATCGGGCTTATTATCATCATCGTTAGCATATCTCAACATTATAGCGATTCCCTTAGCTGTCTGGTTATTTTTTCCCATGTGATGAACGAACATCTCTGTAAGCAAATGGATTAAATGCTTCTTGGTAAATGTGTAAGCGTTAAAATTACCAGAACAACGAATCAAATCGCACACCGTGCCACAGAATCAATGGGACGAGTATTTCTACGCCTTGAGTCTCTTGCGTTAAAAATGTCTTGCTGCTGGTTCTGTGCAAATATGTAGAAAAAGAAAACGAAAGGGGCAACAACAACGTAGATAAATCAAGTATATTTCAAACGCTTAATAAATATTATGGGTGTCTGTCTCGCCATTCTGCTCGGGCACTGACCAACTGCTGTACATGCTAAAATTTAGTTAAGAAATATGTTCGATTTTCGTAATCATAAATACAATCTTGCCTGTGTTTTCCAAATGAAAACTCTTGACAATTATTTCGTTGATCCAGGATATATACGTTGAGCCAAATGTACAATCGACGTAATTCCCTTTACAAGTTATACACAGGTACCGTTCAACTGTGTTATAACGCTAAAAAATTCTTTCCAAAAAAAACCTTCGTTTCTTATATTAAAAAAATAGAAATCTTGCCTGTCAAATTTGTCTTAAAGCCATATCGAATATGGGTTTTGTGAGACGAGATCTGTCGCATATGCAAGCATCCATGTTTATATTACGATCCAGTTACGCACAGGCACCGTTCAACTGTGTCATAACGCTAAAATTTGTCAAGAAACACGTTCGATTTGTTAAGTTTAGAATGCAAAGCTTGCCTGATCAGGAGGTCGAAAGCCATTGTAGTTTTATTTTCAAATCAACCCAATATTTGGATGTGGAGGCCTTAAAAGCATCTTCATGCTGTCTTTTTGGTTGGGAGAGACTTATGAAATATTTTCTGGAAAAATTAAATTAATCGCATATAATTTTCCACAAATTATCTTACGCGATACTATTGCAGATATCGAATATTGGGATTTGTGACACGAGATCTGTCGCATATGCAAGCATCCATGTTTATATTACGATCCAGTTATACACAGGCACCGTTCAACTGTGTCATAACGCTAAAAATTTGTCAAGAAACATGTTCGATTTGTTAAGTTCAGAATGCAAAGCTTGCCTGATCGAGGGTCGAAAGCCATTGTATTTATTATTAACCAACCCAATATTTGGATGTGGGGGCCTTAAAAGCATCTTCATGCTGTCATTTTCGTTGGGACTTTTGAAATATTTTCTGGAAAAATTAAATTAATCGCATATAATTTTCCACAAATTATCTTACGCGATACTATTGCAGATGTCGAATATTGGGACTTGTGACACGAGATCTGTCGCATATGCAAGCATCCATGTTTATATTACGATCCAGTTATACACAGGCACCGTTCAACTGTGTCATAACGCTAAAAATTTGTCAAGAAACATATTCGATTTGTTAAGTTCAGAATGCAAAGCTTGCCTGATCGAGGGTCGAAAGCCATTGTATTTATTATTAAACCAACCCAATATTTGGATGTGGGGGCCTTAAAAGCATCTTCATGCTGTCATTTTCGTTGGGGGAAACTTATTAAATATTTTCTGGAAAATGAAATTAATGACATATAATTCTCCACAAATTCTCTTACGCGATACTATTGCAGAAACGATGAAAGCACATTCTTTCCAAGAAAATGGTGTTCACAAAGACAGGCTTTTAGCATTTTTATGAAGGAGGTCGTATAAAACCCGGAAAGCAAAACGTGAAAACAAACCAAATTGTCTTCTTACGCTTCCTCAATACTTAGTGCATTGTGAATATCCCAAAGGCATGTTATTTCTTTTTAAAGTTGTCAGTATTTTATCTGTAAGAATCATATTATTCAAAAGAGGAAATTCTTTCTTCCTTACTCTGTGTGGAGGGTGGTTTTCGCAACTAAGTATTCATGTATTGCTTTTTAGTCCTCTATATTTAATAGGCAGCAACAAATAATCGTATCTGGAATAATCGCATTAGTTTTAAACGAAATACAACGTTCTTACAGTGGGAATATGTTTTGTTTCTGTTGACTTTAATAAAAAGGAGGATAATGAATCCCTCAGAGAAATTTCGGTAGTACCCATTTGTCGCTTATGTTTTTTCTGCAAATATTTCATTAGCCGATATTTAATTTCACATATTCCTTACTGAGTGTAGAAGTTCAGCACCATATGGACAGGATTAGAGTTTGCCAGCAGTATTGTCAGAACTTGCTCACAAATTGCGCTCAGGCACAGATCAACTGAGTCGCAATGCTAAAAATTATAGAACTCTACATGTTTGGGTTATGGAAAATTGCGTATACCGTCAATATGCTCCTTAATTATATCAGTGGAAATGACACTATTCGGATCAAGGTCAACGATGCAGTCGATTATGCTTAGTAAAAATGTTTGTGATACAGCTTTCTTGGATAGACCAATCCCCTCAAATCCCAATCTTCTCCAAAAGAAATTATTTCAAATAAAATACACCTGGAACATGCATATTGCTGTAGCTGTTGTTGTAGCCGTATCATTTTGTTTAGGAGTTGCCATACAAACTAAAGAAAATTTGAACTGGTATTATTTAATAAAAACGTTGTCACCTGGTAGAGGGGATTCGCTCCAACAGACCACTAATTTATGAAATCATGGACGGTTCACGTTGTTTAAAGTATTGTACTCTGCTGATATGTGTGAAGGGTATGGGATGATTTAAAGGCAATTGTAGACATTCTTGGAACATTCTTCGTTATCATTCGCAACACGTAAATTTCGAAATCCTAAAATTACATGTTATTGCAAAGATATTTCATAATACTGCTTACGATTTTCAAGAAATGAATCAGGGCTCTTGTAGGCTCTCAAAATTCACTGAAAATCCTAACTGGTGGCAACAATTGATGTAGTTGCATTTTCCTTGGGTTGGTGTGGATATTTTTTTTTCCTAAAATTGTAAGTTATTTTACATTGTGATTTGTAGATACTGCTTACGAATCTGCTCTATGACACATAAAAAGTGAAAGTGGATAAACGTATATAAAACATCCTCAAACAGTTTGCGGACTGCCTGACTGACGACCAATCGATTCACAACAGCAAAACAAACATCTGTGGGAAGCAATGGTAACAGCCCCACATCTTACTGAAAATTCGGGAAAAATGTTGTGATTTATAGAAATAGTTTTCATAAATACCATTCATTTTTCCCATTTAAAAATCCTTGTGTTGATTGCAAAGTTCATGATACGGACTGATGAGGAGGAATGTTGTTCCGGACAGCAACTAAACATGATTTTGTTGAAGCCAGACTGATTCATACTCCATGGCAGTAACCGCATTCATTTCTTACTGCTCCCACACCGCTTGCCGTGATTCAAAATTAATATTCCACTACTCTTTGAGATTATTTAGAACGAATAGAATTTGTGTAGAATTTGCACTTTTCAGACCATGAGTGCCAACCAACAATGTTAAGGAATTGGTGTATCCTAAAAAGATGAATTTTCTTCGATGTTCAACTCACTCTGCGCTTGCTTAAAGCCTATTAGACGTTTGGCATCAAAATGACAAGGATTTGTTCGAGACATTTCTTCTACCTCCCTTTGGGATCTCATGATATCGCCATAACGTAGTTTTTGTATAGAAGGAAGGCAGGCAGGGCGCTTTGGAAATGCTGACGTTTTCATTCTCGAAAGCTGCAAATAAAGGCATTATTTAGGCTGGAGTTTTTGGGAATATAAATAAAAAAGACATACACATGTTTCGTTTTAAATAATCATTCAAAATGGAATACTTTTATTTCTTTTCAAAATTCTTTGAACTTTGCTTTTATATACAAAAAATTAACTAATATCTTACGATTATTTTATGAGAAAAATTTTACATATAGACAATTCAATATGAATCACACGACTAATTTCATTTTGTTTTCTTCTCTTCCTCTACTGGTATACACAACAACGGAATATGTATGTATACAAACTACAAAGAAACTTACCCAACAATGATTACTCATCGCACAGATTCTTTAGTGGTGTGTTGATACTGCTGTCTCTTTCTACGAGAAAGAGTGCTCGCTCTTTTGTTGTTTATCTGTATACGTGACCAAATGCAACAACTTCGCCATTCCATTTTCCAATGTGGTTTATTTCGTGGGCAATACATACACAATATTTCACAAAATGGCGTCGGTCGTTATCTTTGGCCTTGAGTAATCATTCCTGGGTAATTTCACAATATTTTAAATAAAATGAAAATAAAAAGTTACAAACCGATTTCTTGGTTTATCTTTTCCACCCAGTCGTTGACTATTAGCTGAAGACCTTGTCATGTCTCCCAATGGCCAGTTTCAGAAGTACCACCAACTATATTATGTGGCCTATGTAACTTCTTAGATTCCATGGTATAGTTGTGTAAATGGGGGATGGTATGTAACTTCAGACAAAGGTCCCAACGGACTGTAAATGGAAAAACTGGCATAATAAAACTTGCTAAACAAATTTTACAAAAATGTATACATATGCAAACAAAATGACAATAAATCACAAACATTTTTAGATTTTTCCTCTATCAAGGAAATGGCTGATTAAATACGAATACAACATTAACTAGACACTTGTATTGATTGCTGGAAGAAGTTTTTCTGGACTTCACTTGGAAAATTTTGGTCGCCATTTTGTCTTGATTCATTTTCATTACTACTACTAATGTCTCTACAACTATTTGTGCTGCTGCTAATGCTACGCATAAAATTATCTAGTTCACTCAGTTCACATTTCCACAAATTGGTTATTTCTTCACTTTGTTTGCAGGTTTGCGCATCACTTTCATGTCTTGCCACAAGAACTACTTCTTCGTTGAAATTTGATGAATGCTGTTGATGTTGGCTGAGAGGTTCACTCCGAGGTTGCAGTTCGTGGTTTTTATTGATTTTTGATTGGAATTCTAACCACTTTTGAAAACGTTCTTGTTGTTTGCGACGTAATTCTAGTTCGGCCGACATCAAAGCCGTCGACAAAATGGCGCAGACCCTTAGTTCGGCACCCGAAGCTCGCAACTTTCGTTTCATTTGTATCTTTTTCAAGCGGAAATTCTTGACCCAATCTCCCAATGTCTTGGGATTTTGGTCCAATTCATCGACATTGTACAAAGCGACCATATTGTTTTTATATTTATTCTCTGAATATTTTTAGAACTACAGCTTTTTATGTTCGTTTCACAAAACACACCTTTTTTCAGCAGTCCCAATAATTTCACTCTTAATTTTCTCCAATGCGTATCTGCGACGTTCAATAAAAACTATCTTTAACGAACGGGGTGTTGTCAACGACTGTGAAAATATCGTCGATGTTTCTCCCTTTTATAGCATTAAATTCCAATGCAATGTATTCTTACCCAAAATGTACGCAGGTATAGCATTCTTTCCAGATGTTTTCATCCCTAATTAAAACACAAATTTCCAATGAAAATGTTTTTAAATTTTTACCTGAGTTCAAGTAAATACACTCTTGTAGTAATTTTTTGAAAATTTTGTTAGGAAATTTATAAAAATTGAAAATCTTAAAATGCCATGCAAATTACTATTTAAGCGTCCATAAATTTTTGTAAATTTCCTTTGACTTCGTTTTCTTTGGAAATGACGGGGTTGCCAAAGCATTGTATTTACAGTAAGGGGTTCTCTTCTCTCTTTTTTTGCTCGTTCGTAAAATTAGTTTGTAGAGTTGTATTTTCTTATAATTTTATATATTTACAATTAAACATATCGACTATATATATTTTATATGTATATATGTTCTAGAAACTGCAAAATTCACGATTTTCTCTCTAATTAAAATATTGTTTAGAAAAGTGTCAAAAACAAAGCCACTTGTTGCATTTTTTGGTAATAATGAAGCTAAACAACTTCAATTTCAGGGTTGTGTTTTTCAAATGCAATCAACATGCCTTTGCAAATACTCAGACGAAGAATCTTTTGGGGAAAACGAGTTTTTTGAAAAATATAAAGAATATGTATAATAATATGTATGTAAGAATACTAATAGAAGAATACATATATCGAGCTTTGAATTTAGTTTTGAAATACGAAATGTTGTAAATTAGATAACAAGAAAAGCAAAGATTCAACCTCAAAATGAAAAATATTATATATTTTGCCACAGGACACAAATAGTGTTTATCCCATTCGTTAGGCTTAATCGCATTATTGTTGTTTTTAGAAAAAAAACTATGGGTGTTAAATTCTTATTTTCATAAATAACAATTATGGAATTTTTATAATTTGTATGTTCTACCATTTCTTTGGGATATACACCAGCCATAACGCATAATGCAGCCACATGTACATACTTAACATGAAACTATAAGTATGTATGTTGTTTTAAGAAAAGGGATCAAATTCACATACATTTTTGTTCTACCTACATTGGTGACCTTGAACATTTTCTTTTCCCTTCATCAAATACCGATTAGCATTCAGTCTGTCGTCACAAATGTACGTAGCAGAACTCGTTTCATGGTAGAAAAATACAGGTAGATGCATCAACGCTTGGGAGCATTGATATGTCAAAATTTTTTTAATTTATTTTCAAATATAAGTAGCTTTTTATATGTTTTCTTATACGACGTCATTCGGAGGTTATTATAAAATGCCTTTTTCAACAATTTTTACAAATTTAAAAAAAATTTCATTCAACATTTTCAATTCCAAAATTGGTTTGACATTTCATTGTCTCAGCAGCTGCGTCGATACGTCTACCTATATTCTTCTACCATGACTCGTTTTGTGTGTATAAGTTTAAACCACATAACCAGGTTGGTATTAAACTTCAATGCGACATCCTTTTATATCATCCTTTGTCACTTCAATTATTTTTTTTATTCTTTTAATCTTTCATACGGATCACCATTTTTATTTTCTATATCTTATTATAAATTCGAATTTATATTAGGCAAGTTTTCTGGTTGCAATTCTTTGTTTGTTCGAGAGAGACGTGCTAGCAATTTTCTGGCAATTACTTTTGTGGTTTTATTTTTTAACAAAGTTATTATTAAAAATGATAGAAAAGGCAATGATGAAACAGAAAATTGCTGAAAATATTTGTCTTGTATAAACCCAAGAGATAGGTTCAAAAGAGAACGTAAACTTGCCTAGTTTACATGAAGGTTAAAGGATACTTGTGCAGCAAGACTTTTCCCATTAAAAGATAAATAAATATTGCTATATATTAATTCTTCTAATCGTTCCCTTTCAAAAACAATAATAATAGCAGTGAAGATATGCATGCTCACTAAAGCATAGTAATAAGCATGGCACAATGAAAAAGTTAGACATTATCAGACGGAATGGGTTTTAAATATGTGCTGTGATTAATAATTCTGACAGGAAGCGGACATAGCTTCAGGGCTGTATTTCTGTAGTTTTAAGAAACTGTTCCACTTCCTTTTTGAATAATTTTTCATTCAAAATTTTCAATTTCAATATTGGTTTGACAGTTCATTATCCCAGCAGTGTCAAAGATATGTCAATATTTTTAAAACATTTTGTCAAAAATAAGTAGATTTTTTTATGTTTTCTTATGCGACGCCAATGGTAGGTTGTTATGGTACACATTTTTTTAAATTTTTTACAAATTTGAATAATTTTTCATTAAAAAATGTCAATTCCAAAATTGGTTTGATAGTTCATTATGCCAGCAGCTGTGTCGTTGCAACTACCTGTATTCTTCTACCATGATAGTTGTAAAATACGTCGATTCTCTAGATAATTCATAATTTCATGTCTCCCAACCAAATATAAATGTTTAATAGATGGAGACAATCAATTGGTGAATTAAATCACAAATTTTTACTCCAGATGACGCGCAACAGTTTTGAGCGCTCAGCCCTTAATTAGGCATTTGATTTAAAAACAAATGTATTAATTTTCTTTTTTTTATTTCATTACTCGCCTTCGAAAACACATTTAAACGGTTTTTAAGATTTGCACTGGATTAATGGCGTATTTTGGGATATCACCATGTAATTTAGGTGTAAAATAAATGGCGACATCGAAAATTAATGTATAATTAAAAAAAATTAAATTTTGTTGTTGTTAAATGGTCAGGTTTAATCCCTTTATTGTTGTTTTTATAAAAACAACGTTTGTTTATTTGTGGAGATCGATGGTAATGTTTACCAGGCAATCGTAAAATAAAACATTGCAATGTTTTAAGCCAATAAAATACAGGTTTGTCCATATTCGGCGGACACATCTGGCAACGCCATAACTTTTGACAGAGATGTCACATCGCTTAATGACATACCGCGTTTGAAGCGTCAGTCCAAGCAGATTTTTACCATGAACCAATACAGGCCACGCGAGCGCTCTGAAATTTACATTCAACAGAAGAAGTCAATTGTGAAAACTCAACGTGCTTTTAAAACATTAAAAAATGTGAGAAGTGCGCCTTCTAAGAACACCATTAAGCGTTTATACGAAAAATTTTCGACTGGTAAGGCTCTTTCTAATCCGAAGAGGCCATATAAAAGTCAACCAAGGCGATTGGCCGAGAATATCGCTGCCGTACAAGCCAGTGTTGAGAGGTCCCCAAGAACATCCCAAAAACGCCGTTCTCAGCAGTTGAGCATGGCTCGGTCCACTTTACAACGGATTATTCGCATTGATTTGCATTTGTTCCCGTACAAAATTCAATTGACGCAAAGAATCTTGCCTGCGGACAAGCCTCGTCGATTGGAATGGGCCCAAAGGTCCGTCGAATATATGGGCAACCCATTATACAGGTTATAAAAATGTCTTGTATTTTATGTTTTAAAATAAATTAATAAATTGAGGTGGATCACTTAGATCATTGTTAAAACAATATTTTCGAAGACAGAGGACGAGAGTCCTTTTTTGCATATGTATTTCGTTATGCGAAAGAACACCATTCCAATAAAAAATTGTCATTCATTTAATTTTTGATATAAAGTTTTCGAAATTTTTATCAGAACTGTGAAAAAATCTAATATATTCGTATATTTATGTGTTCTATTCACCAGACACAATAAACATTGTTTACCCAAAACATATGCCACAACGACCCCTTATCCACCCTTTGTCACTTATTTTGAAATAAACGCATCTAACCGAAACAAACCAAAACAAAAGAAACAATATTTTTCACACATTTCCATTGATAAATCTAATGTTTTTGTTGTTCTCTGAGCATCCAATTCACACAAACGCCCCAACACCGCCCGTAGCTTCCACCTCGCTCATTCGCGCGATAATCCAAAACAATGCAAATATCCGAGAACAAGCACCCGGACAAGTGCCTTGCTTAAGGAAACACGAAAAGAAAATTACTGAAAATGAGAACAATTTTCATTCTCACTGCAGTGAAAAGATCACGATCATCGACTTGCCAAAGAATTCTTAGCTTCTTTTGGCCACAATATATAGCAGTCGAGGGGAAACTATTGAACGGTTAAGTGCTCCAAACGGAAGAAATACAAACGGTCGCCGGTGAAGGGAAAGTGCGGTGTCTGTTTACATGTGTTTGTCTGAGTGTGTGTGCCAACACGCTTTTTGGAATCCAATAATTTCAGTTAAAATAAACAAATGTTGAAATTTTCAATATTTATTTAAATATAATAGGAAATGATGAGTGTCGATTCTTATTTGTGTTTTCCGATGATTTAATTGTGCAGAAAAATTCGAGCAAGAATTGTGTGTTACTTTTTTTTTTTAATATGAATTTTGAAATTTTTATGAATTATTTCAATCAGTAGTTAGTGTTCACAAATTCAAACGATATCAAAATCAAGCATCTAATGGAGAACGTGCGATTTTCAATTATTGTTAGTAACCAATATATGTACATGGAATATCCTCTGCCACCTCTTGAAAGAAATGAAATGTTGAAATGTTGGTGTACTCTACATTGCGTTTGGGTGCCACAACAGGTGCTGTAGTGATGCTAAATAAAATTATGGAATTATAAAAAAGTTTTTTTAATCAATCGGCCAAGAATACGCATAATCACACGAATCACAAACTTACGATGTTTTAAAGGCCCCACCTCTACTACCCTTTTCGTTTTCAATGTTTCTTTTTATACAACTCACAACAGCTACTTTAGTGAAATAATTTATGGAAATCGTACCAATTTCTCGAACCACTTACCGTACCTGTTGTCCGCATAGACATGTGTAGAGTACAATAAAACATTTCGCACATACCGAAAACGCCGTCCATACATTCCATTCTATTTCATTCATGTTTTGTTTTTCACACTCGCCAAGGAAAACGATCTGAAGCGCAATTCTGAAAGTGGCATTGACAATGAGGTATTCTACGAAAGGAGCATTTCCAGTGAAAGCAACAGCGACACGATTTTTAGCGACGAAGCCCACGAGATATTAATATGGCAACAACAACACCAAGTACTGTGGGACAGTACGGAAATCGAACAAACCTTAGGTCAATTGAATAACGCAACTGCTGTTGCTCAAATGGTAAAGACTGGAACATTTACAGATCTGATTCCAGCATCCAATGATGCCCAGTTGGCACTGCTGTACTGCTCAATCTATGGGTGCGTGGAGAATATTATATATCTGCTGGATCACTGTGGTAGCGATCCCAATTGCTGCGATCCGCGCGGTAGGAGTCCTCTGCATTTTGCCACAGCTCGAGGGAACTCGCACATTGCAAAAGTGTTATTGGACCGCGGTGCCGATCCAAATCGCTGGGATGCCAAAAAAGAGGTCACACCACTGCATTGTGCCACAAGTGCCCAGAGCGTCGAATGCATCCTGCTGTTGCTGAAGCGAAAGGCCCACATAAACATAGGTCTCGAAAAACGTTCGGCCTTACATTTTGCAATCGATCGGAATGCCATCGAATGTGTGGAAACTCTTTTGAAGTATGGTGCTGATCCAAATACCCCGCAAGTTTACACGGAAACTCCCCTGCATACCGCCTGTGCCCTGGGCTTTACGAAATGTGTGGAATTGTTGTTAAATCATGGCGCCGATGTGCGTTCTCAGTTCGGAGAGGGTAAACTAACAGCTCTGCATTTGGGTAAGACTTTGCTCTCATTGTTTAAATGTTTATAAATACTATTATACACACGTACATATGTATGCACGTACTTTCGCCACATTAGAGTGCACTCATGTGCGGGAATGTATGAATTTATATTTTCTATTTATTTACAATTTCCAATGGCATAATATTACAATACAACAACAAAAAGTCATAAAACTGGACATTGAAAATATGAAATGAAAAATATTTACTTTAAAGAATTTTTCATTTGACATAACTTCTCTTTATAAAAAAGTTATGTTTGAATTATATTCAAAATAATTTCCTTCCTTGCATTTGTTCCTCTAGGAATCAAAGCGTAATCTTAGGTGTGAGTTTTCTACGCATCAAGAGACCAATTTTAGTTTCCCAAACGGCAGCTAAGCGCTGAAGACGGATTCAAGTCACACTCTTTTGAAATGAGAAAATATATTTTTTAAGTTTTTGTCGTTGCCGGAAATTTTTTTGTCGTTGAAAATTTGTTTTCTACTAAAACGTTTTTTGTTTACCCGGATATTAAATGTTTAGGTTGATTTGTTTAATAACCTCTAAAGTACTCATTACAAGGAGAAAGGCTCCAGTTCACAAATATCCACATTTCTCAAAAACAAATTAGATGGCGCCCAATCGCTAGAATCGTTGCCAAAGAATTAAATTGTTTCTTAAGGGCGAATCTGAATAAATGCGTAAGCATCAATTCATGTTACGCGTTACGCTATGTTTAATTATTTTCAATATAAACATAGCCCATAGGTCCATGGACGGTTCCAAAAACTTCTATAGATGACTACTATGAAAATAGATAATGTCTTTTGAGTTAGCTCAAATTCAATGTGACTTTTTAAATCGGTCCTATTTGCAAATTCGTTTCATTCATACGATATCTTTCGAAAATGTTTAATTGACAAATTATACCTACTGTGGATAAAATTATATATGCCATTTAATTAATTTAATTATTATTTAAAAATTTTCCCTCCAGCCGCCGAAAACGATTACGCAGATTGTGTTCGTTTACTTTTGGAGCACAATGCTGAGGTAGATTGCCGCAATGCTAGCCATCAGACTCCTCTTCATTTAGCGTGCCTTTCACAGTCCATCGAGACAGTAGAACTGTTGATCAAACACGGTGCAAATGTGAATGCAGTGTATCGGGACGGGAGAACGGCATTGCATGCCGCCATTGTCAAGCAATCGCGTTGTCTTGACTGTTGCACCGCGTTGCTAAAAGCAGGAGCCAATGTCAATAAAGCCGACAACTACGGTTACACACCCTTGCATATTGCCGCTCTGAATGAATTTAGCAATTGCGTTTATGCCTTTATAGGTAAGTTGCCTTTGTGGCATGGCAATTGAAACGAACAACTTAAATTCTTTCAAACAACTTCGATTCGTATAGAACACGGTGCCGATATTACGGCACGCACAGACGGCAACGTCTCTGCATTGTCATTCATTGTACGACGAACACCCGAAATCATACCCAAGCTGATGTCGAAATTCGACGAGTCCATTAAAGTTAATGACCACGAGATCGGAGATGTCGACTGTGAGATAAAGTTAGATTTTCGATGGCTAGTACCGCCGGGAACATTGGAGCGCGGCGAGACCGAGCTATTGCTTTCCCTCATTGAGTGTGGCCAGAAGCGTTTGTTAATGCATCCTCTGTGTGAAACATTTCTGTTCCTGAAATGGCGTCGAATACGCAAATTCTTCCTGATGTCTCTTCTATATCATGCCATTTACGTGATACTCTTCACGATGTATATTGTGGGCGTTTATGTACATCATTGTGAAAAGGATGTGGAATGTCGAGCTCCGGGCTACATACCAACCGTGGGATATTTTGTGATCATTCTTAACCTACTTCTGCTGGGGAAAGAACTCTTTCAGGTAATCTTGTGCAATAGAATACATTTCAATTTCTGATTTTTTATATTGCCCCCTTCATTTAGATGGCTCATGGCTTGCAAGGCTATGCAAAGTATTGGGAGAATTGGTTGCAATGGTCCATTATTTTTGGAGTTTTACTGTGCGTGGTAAGCTTCATTTTTAAAAATATTCCGAACTGTATGGCCTTTTTTTTAATTTAACAACCTCTCAGACTCCGGAAATATTGATCGTGGGCGAATTGCAAAAAGTTCCAGTGTGGCAGCATCATGTGGCAGCAGTTGTGGTACTCTTAGTTTGGGTAGAACTTATGATGCTAGTGGGCCGTTTTCCAATTTTTGGGGTTTACGTTCAAATGTTTACAAAGGTGGCTGTCAATTTTGGCAAGTTTCTGCTGGCCTATATTTGCCTGTTAATTGCTTTTGGTCTAAGCTTTTCCGTACTTTTCAATGACTACAAGGCCTTCACAAACATAACATGGTAAGATAGTGGTTGAATGCCCGATATTTTAGATTTGGATTTATGACCACTGTCTTATATTATAGGTCCCTCTTGAAATCCATAACCATGATGTCAGGTGAATTGGAATTCGAAGATATTTTTTATGGTGATGTGGAAGTGCAGTATCCTGTGACGGCTCATTTCATATTTCTTAGTTTCGTGCTACTGGTTACTGTTATACTCACAAATCTAATGGTGGGTTTGGCTGTCAGCGATATCCAAGGACTTCAAGTATCCGCCTCCCTGGACCGCTTGGTGAGACAAGCTGAATTGGTATCACGTTTGGAGAGTTTATTCTTTTCCCGGCTATTGAGAGGGGCTCCGACACGCCTGTTAAAACTGTGTAAAAGAAGTGCCCTCCTTAGAACTTCGCGAAATAAGCTTCTTTTTGTTATTAGGCCGAATGACCCGCGTGATAATCAGCTACCTGAAGATATTAAATTGAATATCTATAAATTAGTAGCTGAACGGCGTGATCGCAACATGAGCATACGCAGACGGAAGTTTGAGACGAATTATTCAATGTTTCAAAGATCACTGCAACGCCAAACCTCAACTCAGCGCAAGGAAAAAACTCCCATGCGCAATAATGCCACCGATTATAGCAAGACAACCACACGACCCGAGCATGAACAGTTGCTTAGACCCCGGTCGGCTACAAATGTTCCCAATACGTTGATGGGTGAAACAGATTTGGCAACTAAACTGAAAAATAACGTTAACGGAATATCGGATGTTCGTTCAGAAATACAGATGCTGAAGACACAAGTCGGAGAACTATCTGAAAAATTGGATAAATTTACCGATACTTGTGGCAAGAAATTGAATTTCGCCGTGGAAGAGTTATGCCGCATCAAGATGGTCATGGATCAAAAGTCTGCCATGCGATCGGAGCGAACTTTTAAAGTCTAAAGTATAATTTAATTGTGCTTATTTGGAAAGTATTGATAAAAATAAAAAGTATTATTTTATTAATTTAATAAATAATGTTAATTTAATCATGGCGTAGCATACCACTTTGCGAGTACGAATATTGATACATCCTGTTTAAGACCAAATGAATTGAATCGAATTCTGATTTAATTATTTTACGTTAAGTAATACCAAAATGCTGACGTCTATCGAACTTTTATCCAAGAGGATCTTACCGTCCGAAATTATGTAAGCGGAGGTATAAGATGAATTAATAATAAGTTTTTCAATCATTATGTAATGATTTTTTATTAACACAAAATACGACAAAGATTGGATATTTCAAAATCATTGGACATTCTAAAATCATAAAATGCCACTTGTTACCTCTGTGCTACCAAATGGTAACAAGAGAGAATACTACAGCTCTGTTTTAGAACAGCAAATGCTTGCAGGTTCTGAAATACAAAAATGCAATTTTGATTTTAAATACATGTGTTTTATACCATCCATTACAGTAAGTGTTTGTACATTATCTTTGTATTTTAATAATCGTTTCAGACCCTACAGAATATATACTCTTGATCATAACTCATAAAATTAGATTTTTACTCAACCGTTGGCGCGATATTTTGACTCTGTTACATTTATTTTAAGTCAGCATTGTAGGGGCTATTGATTATATGTTTCGGATCTTTGTTATACATTTTTCATGATAGTGTTAAATTTTATGTTGTTGCGCTTCCAAGAATTACTTGGAACTGCATTTTTGGGCAGCCGTTGGTGATGACTTTTATCCCTTTCTTAAGGTGAGAATTTTTTTGTCCTCCGCAACCGTGCACTCTGTAACAACGATATTTAGGGGAAATATATAAAATACAGCTCAGAAATACCTTCATTAAATTTAATCGAGATCGGTTCAGATTTTGATATAGCTCCCATAAATATTTTCGTCCGATTTGCCTTTGTGTAATATTGTGCACCAAAAGTGTAATATTAGCCCAAATGGGATGGAATTAGGCACTAACGACCAAATTGGATGTAGAAACAAGTATGTCAAATTTGGTGAAAATCGGTTCAGATATAGCTATAGCTCCCATATATATTGGTTATCCGATTTGTTGAACTTGTCCTGCACGGCCGTAGTATGCACTCGGTAGTAACGATATTCGGGGAAATGTATCAAATACCGCTCAGAAATACCTTCGCCAAATTTTATCGAGATCGGTTCAGATTTGGACATAGCTATATCTTTATCCGATTTCAATTTAATTGTGCACCAAATGGATAATGCAAGCCTGAATTGAAAAGGCACAACTGCCTCCGCAAATTTAGTAGAAATCGATTCAGAGGAGGATATTCCTCTCATATATTAGCTCCTTTAGACTTTAAATTATAACTAAAATCATAGTTGTATGATTTAATTCTCACAAATTCGTCATAAAAACTTTAATTTGTTATGTGAAGCTGTACTAAATATGCAAAGTGGTGTAGGATTTCTGGTATAAATAAGGTATAGTTGGTAAAGGAAAGAAGTTACGAAGTACAGCAATATAAACTAGGTTTTCTTGATTTGTCTGTGAGTCAATCCACGTTTAGACCAACTCTCTCTTAGTTACATGGATAGCGACTGTACAAAAGATGAAATATCAGAGAAAGAGCCTATAAATTACGCCGCAATCCGTATAACACATACAAAGTATAACCATATGTATAAGTGAGTATATATTTTGTTTCCATTCATATGTAATTATGTAGAACAAGGACATATATATATATATAATTATAAGTATTATTTAAACTCGTGCTACCATGGTTAGCCATTTGTCATTACTTTGATTCCAAACAAGGGCATCCTCAGCTGGTGGTGGATCACTTCCCTTTAATTGAGTCCATGTTTTAGTAACTGGGTTATAAACGAAATTTTTAGAATCTTTTGAAGGTGGTGGTGGTGTGTTGATGATGACAGGCCTTTGAGTTGAAGTTATGGGTTGTAACACCGGCTTATCGTTCAGTTGCGGAGCTCTGGGGTTTATGATTTCATATTCCAAATTCGGGTTTCGAGAGTCGGGAAAAGCAAGGGCATAGCAAAAAAGAAACGCTACGTTTGGAGAAGACAAAAATGAATAGAATTATTATATTAAATAATAACATTTTTAAAAAGTAAAAAAAGCATTAAGATCATCACTGCCGACATTTCAATATTATTAGGTAAAAAACATTTTTAAATAAAAGTATCAGTATTCAAACGTGTTCCACTTTAAACTGCAAATACCAGTGGGGTAGGTTGGAGAATGCAGTCAAAGTTTTAAACTTCAATACAGTGGGTGGTACCTTTATATGGGTGCCATGCACTACTGGGACCAATATAGACAATTTTAACTACGAGGATATTCCGTGGATAAATATGGCTAAAATCATCAAAATACCGTATATCGGGAGGTACTGTTATATGGAGGCTATACGAAAGCGAGGACCACTTTCAATGCCAACCATCCTAGACACAATACAAACTATTGTGCCAAATTTCAAAGCTCTACGTCAAATAATGTGGGCTTTATCGTGATTTCAAACGACACACAGACGGACATATTTTAATTTAGAACTTCGAATTTTATGATGTCACAGAGTCAAAATATTGACACCAGGTGGAATTACCTCTTTTGTTAATTTCCAATGTTAGGCGATTTTAGCCGCTTAGGCAATATGCAATGAAATGAGCGGGCCTATAGAAGGGAATTTTAAAACCATTTTTTATTCAAATTGTTATTTGTTATACAGAAACCAAATTTTTGTTTTTTTCACACTTTTATTTGATCGACTTAAGCATGGCCTTATTTTTGTTTACTTATTTTTTATCCAGTTTTACGCAAAGCTTAGTGACTCCGAGTTACTGAGAAATGATGACGTTTAAACTAACTCTATGCGACGTACGAACTACGTCACTGAATTTGTTTGAAGCTTGAAATTCGTTTTCTTGCGATATTTCACCGTATTTGGAAATTCATCTTTGATATTTAAAAATTTGTTTATATCAATTATAAACCGATATTAACTTGTCACTTTAAAATTAGCACATACCAATTGGAAAAATTATGCGAAATTGTAACATTTTGCAATCAGATTCACTTAAAGTTGTTTATTTTTTAAATGAAATGATCTTTACGGCCGAACCAATGATTTTGTACTAATCATCTACATGGAAATTGTTTTTTTTTTTGTTCGCGATTCACATGAAATCGCTGTCTGTCTGAGAAAGTAAGAGAACAAGCAATGAATCAAATTACTTTGGATCTCACCGTCGAACAAATATTAAAAGCTAGAGATTCCGAGTTGTTTTTATACCCTCCACCATACTATGGAGGGTATATTAATTTTGTCATTCCGTTTGTAACTCCTCGAAATATTCATGTCAGACCCAACAAAGTATATATATTCTTGATCAGCGTAAAATTCTAAGACGATTTAGCCATGTCCGTCTGTCTGTCTGTGTGTCTGTCTGTCTGTTGTAATCACGCTATCTTTCGAACAAATTGAGATAGAAGGCTAAAAATTTGCACACATGTATTTTTTCCCAGTAGGCAGGTTAAGTTCGTAAATGAGCCATGTAGGTCCAAGTTATCATATAGCCCCCATATAACGGTACCTCCCGATATTCGGTATTTTGATGATTTTAGCGATATTATTCACCGGAATTATTTCAAATTTGGCATTTGAAGTTCGTAATGGATACTACAGCGTAAGACAGAAAATTATCTCTGCAGGTCCACGTCTTCCTGTAGGCCCCATATAACGGTACCCCCCGATATTCGGTTTTTTGATGATTTTAGCGACATTGTTTACCGGAATCGTTTCAAATTTGGTATTTGAAGTTCGTAATGGATACTACATCCTAAGTCAAAAAATGAGCCATGTAGGACCACGTCTTCATATAGCCCCCATATACCGTAACCCCCGATATTCGGTATTTTGATGATTTTAGCGACATTATTTACGCGGAATTGTTCCAAATTTGGTATTTGAAGTTCGTAATAGATACTGCAGCATAAAACAGAAAATGGGTCATGTAGGTCCACGTCTTCATATAGCCCCCATATAACGGTACCCCCCGATATTCGGTATTTTAATGATTTTAGCGACGTTATTTACCGGGATTGTTTCAAATTTCGTATGTGAAGTTCGTAATGGATACTTCAGCCCATGCCAGAAAATTGTCTGTGCAAGTCCACGTCTTCGTATAGCCCCCATATAACGGTACCCCCCATATTCGGTATTTTGACGATTTTAGCTACATTATAAACAGATTTTTCTTCAAGTTTCGCATTTAAATATTGTAATAATTTATGACAAAAGTTGCCTATGCAGGCCCACGTCGTCGTATAAACATTCGGTATTTTTAAGATTTTAACAAAATTTTTAACGGGTTTTATTGTTTGGAAATTGCCAAATTTGTACCAAATGGTGGAGGGTATTAAAAGTTCGGCCCGGCCGAACTTACAGCTTTTTTACTTGTTAATACTTGATTGACTCAGCATTTGTACCTAACTCCGAGAGTTGCAACTCCGCTTGTTATCAGAAAGGTATATGTTTTAATATTAAGAAATTTGAAATTTAGTTTAAATATCAAAATTATTAGTTTATAGCTGTTGACAAATGAACGAAACATTGATTTCATTGCTTTCAGCAAATACGCATTAATGTTTATGCACGTTGACATCTCTACGACTATCGTGTTCTCTGCAAAGAAAGAGAATAATTAAAGAATATTAATATTAATCTCTAGCTTAGCTTTAAATTACCGTGATTTTCTCTCAATTTTTTTAAAATATGTGTGTGCGGTTATATTGTCCAATCAACTTTTAGCTTCCATTATCTATTAAGTCGTGGAATCTTGACACATTAACCTCTATGAAAATTTTCAGATTGTGTACCTACATTTTTGAGCTGTCATGGTTGTAATAATTCTTGGAAAATAATGTAAATAATATTTTAATTAATATTTTATTATCTATTTCGGTCGTAAAGATTCAAAGATATTTTGGAAGCATTGTTCAATATTATAAAAACTAAAGTAGCTAAGATATTTTCTGTGGGCAGAACAGATATTTTCAGAGCAAAGGTACATCAGAGTTTGCATTAAGTTCGATTTAATTTATTGAATTTTAAAAATACATGTATAAATTATTTTTGTTTATAATAATCAAATACAGTCTCCGAAACGTAAACAATTTATATCTTAAGATAGCATGTGTTAGCCAATTAGGGATTGCAGATTCCAGATCGCAAAGCCGATACATCTGAAAGTAAGATATGATAGTGAAATCTTTGGGAAAATGTAATGAAATTCACTTACTTTTACCACATCTTTGGGCACATACTAAACGGCCGTTATTGTGGTAATTTATGTTATCCGAACCACATATTGGGTTGTATTCCATTGTGGATGGACAACTCTGTAAACATGACAGAAATTGTGGAGATGCTGTTGTCGCTGTAGTCGGAGCAGCGGTTGTCGACGAAACTATGTTGTTGTTATTTCCAGAGTTGCCTTGATTATTGTTGCCCAAGTTTCCTTGATTATTGTTGGTCGATGGTAAAAAGGGGTTTCCATTATTTCCTGCTCCAGGCAATCGTTGCGGAAAAAATCGATCAGAGGGTCTTTGAGGCAGGGCCAAAGTGCTACATTGTAGCACTGTTAACATAACTGAAAACGAAATAGATATAAATAATGCAAGAAAAGAAAAAATCGGTTAGTCTGTGGAGACCGCTTCTATGCAATCCATAAAACTGCTCTGTTCCAGAACCTGCAAGAAAATGCAAGTGTTGCAAATTTTTCCGATTTCAGAAGGGAAAAATAGGCTATCGTAGTTAAAAATTCCACATTCTTTCAGTTCTGGAACAGACCAATAATTAGGTTCATTACAGTTTTTTTCTAATCTTTAAAGATTTTAAAAGTGTTTCAATTTTACACAGTTTTTATTACCGAAGCCTAATAATAATTTCATGATTTCGAATTAAACAGATATTAAACGACTATTTCACTTGTCAGTTTACGATGGACTGATGCTTGAACCGAATTAGTTCTCTATAAAATGTGCAGATATAACAAAATCTCAAGTATGACTAAATGCTATTTCTACATTGATTGGACAACTAAGGTTTATCGGTTTCCCACAAGTAAAAAGAACAAACCAATACTCATAAAAAATAGTCGGAATTGACATTGATAAGTTCATGAACATCTCTTCTCCCAATCGCACAATGAAGCTCGCATGTGTTTTACTTGTTTCGCCGAATACCGGAGCAACCTGTGTCCAAGTTAAAAACACCAAAAGGTTTTACTTATTCAACATATGCATCCGCACACACATACATACACAAACAAAGGGGATTTTGTTTATTAGCATTTTGAGTTAAACGCAAAACGAGAAGAGCACAAAAAAATAAGCCAACATTTCGGCTATTATGCGCCAACTAGTCTGTATATCAATTGTAATAAACAGGTTTTAAACGGGTATTCTTGTTTGCCACAATGTATGTAATTCAATGGTAGATTCAGTTTTATTCTACATTGTCTCAATTTGGAAATCTAAGTTAGAAAATGCGAAACATTTAAAGACAAATTAACAGCAATTACGTAGAACTATATATTTGCATTTTCATCTTATTTGGGTATTCAACCCTTTTTTGGGGTTTCCCTATTTTTAAATGTTTTACTTCTACTTATTCCAATGAAATGGATGGAAAAAGTAATGGGGTAACAGAAATGTATTTATAGAAGCCATTGACGTCTAACCGCAGGGATTATCTAAATCAGATTAATGAATGTATGTATGTACGAACCTCCAAATAACCCGACCGTTGAAGATTACTCGATTCCGGTAAAACTATATGTTCGGAAAATACTGATCGATTAGCAAATTCTCAGAAAGTTATATGTGGTTGTCACAAGCTATTGCAGCAAAATGTTCGTTGCGAAAAATACTGATTCATCATCAGTACAACTGATATAGGTTGGCATCATTTTCGGATCCTTGACATACCATCACACTTGCAATGGCAATTTCCCCACACTTTTGCTTGAATACTGGGCATTACGTATTCAAAAACAAAAACCCAAAAAATTACATTTCTTGAAAGTGCGTTTAGAATTCAAGAAATTCATTCTCAAATTATGCATATGAATCAGTGTCATCATCGCAACACATAGAACAACTTCCAATAAATATATATACACAGAGAGTCTTCAAAATGTTTAATGAACCGTAAAAATGAATATTGTGGCTTGTTGTACACTCACACAGTTTCCCATAGCAATATCTTATGAATTTCTATAACTAAAAAATAAACATTAACAACTACTGTCTGAAAAAATATTTGTTTTATTTGCATTTGATTTTCACTTCAGGTTTAATGCAGTTTATGTGAAATAAAAAAAAATAAAGTTAGTTTTGTCATGAATGTGTATTAATTACTTTATAACAAAGTATTAATACAAGAACGCTTTTATATAAAATCATTTAAATCTAATGTTAAATTAGAAATTAGAATAAAAACATGTTCTATATACTTTGAAATAGTAATCTAAAGATAATCACAATTTTTTTTTAATTTAGACATCTATCTACAATATTCTTGGTAATTCCAAAACGTAGCGCTATTATGGTCCTTAATCTGCATCCACAGCATAAACAATTTCGCTTCTAGTTTGGGTTTTTGCACGCTTTTTCCTAGGTTTATTTTTCTTTGACGGTTCCTTAGATAAGTGCTTTGGATTGTTTTGAACACCGTTGGCAGTATTACTTTGTACTTTTTTATTCTTATCCTGAAAAATTATAAACGCACACTTCTTGTTGTCTCGTAATACCACTCGTATGTCAATCGTTGAAAATATTTGTAATTTAACGGGCGGCACCTGGGATTTCTTTTCTGAAACCAATACATATTGTGGCACATGTGTTGTGTCAATAATAACTTTCTGTTGTTTATAGTTGATGGTGAAGGAATGACCTGTTTCAATACTGACAACATTTAACATGTGTTTAAAGACATCTGTCACAGCGGCCTTAAGCGTTATTGACTCCTTCGAACGTATATAGCGATGGAAAAAAAGGTCAATAGATTCGTCACCTGCGTTTTTGGCATTGAACTTCTGCTCATTACAAATTTTGGTCAGTTCATGAAGCTCGTCGGGAGTTCGTTTCGACGGTGAGCAGTAATTTAAAGATGCTGCAAGTATTCTGAAAGTGGATTTAATATGTTAAATTAATTGTTTTAATTACTTATTTATAATAATAATAAAAAGTGATGTAAGATTGTTTAATCAAAAAAGATGGACGGAAAAAGATGTCTTCATAAATTACACATATACAAAGAATACAATATTCTTGGTAATAGATTTCTCCAGTATTTCAACACCACCACCCAAAAAATTACAAATTACAGTAGATAATACTGTCGCCCTTTAAGAAATCTATTTATACTAAAACCAAAAATGGTTAATATATCTTTCGTATGAAAGTTCTCAGACCCACAGATTCAGAGTAGTCCCAAACCAAATAAAATATATTAGTCATGTCAAAACTCATACAGATATTAGATTCCGCAAATTCAATTTTTCAGTTCTAATTGATATCAAGGGTTTGTTTTTTAATTAAAACACATTACCTATGAACCAAAATGTCTGGATACCGTCTAATTGGACTGGTAAAATGTGTGTATATCGGAATAGACAAAGCATAATGCCAGAAATCGGCATCCGTTGTTTTTCCTTCACTGCAATAATACCTGAAAAATACACAGAATCATTACTTCGACCCTTACATTTTTTTCAGATTCACAGCTTACCGTGCACGTGCCATGGGTTTGGTCAAAAAAGTATTAAGACATGCTTCGACTGCTGCAGGATTTTCACTGGCCCGGGTAATGCGTTTCATACTTTCATATAGAGTCTTTGACGTGCTAATATCAAATTCCAAATCCATATTTGCCAATCGATCCTTAAGTGCGCGCATAGATTTTTGCAAGGGAGGCGCATGATTACGCAGAATAGCTGTATTGGGAAAATGCTGATGTGTGAACTTAGCAACTGCTTGATTTGCCAAAAGCATAAACTCTTCAATCAGGAAATTCGCCTCTTTGCGTCCCTCAACTTCATAAGAAAGCGGCTCGCCTGTTATAGGGTCCAGATTAAAACGCAACTTTGGATTATTTATGGATAAGGCCCCTGATTCGTAGCGCTTTGTTTTTAAATGTTTCGATATTGAGTACAGCAACAGCACGCGCCACTTTATGTCGTCTGGTGTAAAGCCGTTAAAAATGTCCGGTAAATCACTATCGGAGAAATCTTCATTGGGGTTATCTATGATCATCTGGGCGTGTTCGTAGGCAAATTGTGAACAGGAATTCAAAACAGTTCGTGTAAACCTGGGTTCGGATAAAGTTTGTTGAGACTCATTCCAACGCCAAAAGACAGAAAAAGCAAATTTATCTTCCCCTGGCAAAAGGGAACATCGGAAACACAGCGATGTTGGCAGCATATGTATCACTTCGTTAACTAAGTATATAGATGTAGCTCTTTCTTTGACTAAATTGTCTAGTTCTGAATTCTCTTCAAGATAATGCGAAACATCCGAAATGTGAACACCGATTTCATATTCATCTTCGGATATTTTCTCCACAGACATTGCATCATCCAAATCTCTAGCCGTTAGGGGATCTATGGTGAATACACACTTTTTGCGCAGGTCTTCTCTAAACTTTAAATCATCTTCAGTGATTGGTGGCATTGGACCGTCATACATGTCATAGAATTTCTGATCGTATGGTTTCAGTTTTTTCAACCCGTTGTGTAGTAGAATTGCCTTAATTTCAGCTTCCAAATTACCAACCTTTCCAACAGGTTGTAACAACTCTCCAATATAGTGGCCGCTAATATCCGTTTCCAATATTAGGGCTAAGAAGAGCATGCCCACAATGTCATCTTTGCTAGCTGCATCAACATGACTCTGACACGATTCTTCAGGAATATAGACCATGGGAATTCTCATATCATGGGGCTTCAATTTGTAGTAAACTTTTGAGTTTAATGTTGTAGTTTTTATGAAATTTATAGAGCCAACAACTTCGCGCAATTCGGTTTGCTTGATTATGGAAATAACAAATGCTTTGCGACAGTTGTCGAGTGAGATTGCAGCCACGTTATCGTCTTCAATGTCAGTATCGGGAGGAGAGTCACATTCATTGAGTGGGTCTTCATCTTCTGTCAAGCAAATTGAATTTTCTTTGCCACCCATTATATTAACAGAAGACGTTCTCTGTCTCCTATTTTCACTTTGTCCCAATTTGCTGGGGTTAGGTTTTACGTTAAAGACAAAGGCTCGAACTATGTCTCCATCAAATGCAAAATGTCTAGCAGCAGGCACGGTAACAATGGCGTCCCTTTCACCAGATTCCCTGTCATTGCTTAGTGAAATAAAGGCTTGTCTGTTGTTTTTTCGGTTGACGCGTATTTCACCTTCTACTATACTTCCAAATCCCATCTTCACCAACATTTGTCCAAAATTTTCCAAATCATCAAGGTTCATCATAGTACAAGTGACTTTTGTAGAACTTTTGTCATCTCCTGTATATTCCAATAGCGAGGAGTTGATGTAATTCAGGAGAACATCCCTTGGATTTATTTCTTTACTTATCTTTTGATTTCTGTCTTGCTTTTCATTGATGCATTGAGGTGATTTTTCTTCTGGTCCTCGACGAGTAGATTTCTCCACTACTTTTTGGCTGTTCGTACTGTTTTGTTTAAGCGATTTGTCCGTTGGGATTTGGTTTAATAAGGGAAAGTCTTTCAGAACTTTGATATCTGAAGCTAGCTTTTGAACCTTTTGTTGCAATTTATTGTCATTTACTGTTAGTTTGACAATTAATTCTTGCAGGCCTCCGACCAAACCTTTTAATTCACTTTTTGAACATTTCGAAAACAATTTGGAGGCCACTTCATTTGTTTCTGCCAATTGCTTCTTGTTGTCTTCAGATGGATCAACAGCTGGACTATTAATCGGAATTTTGGGAATTGCGCCATTGCAATGAGGAGCTACCTTTGATTCCGTATTTTTTAACTGTTTTGAAGATGATGCATTTCCCCTTGCATTACCTTCCACATCAATTGTGTTTTGAGACGATTTCATTGTTTTTAAGGCTATCCGAGCAATCCTATCGCTAGCTTCCGAATTGTCCTTCGTCTTATTTTGAAGGGCATGTTTTTTCTCTTGCAATTTACTCAAAAGATTAGATGACTTTTCATGAATATTTTTTAAAATTGCTTTTGTTTCTGTTTGCGATGTGGGTTCATGACGATCTTCTTCTCTTGCCTCCTGCTCGCTTTCGGGTTTCTGACCGCTATTTTCCATTTCTAATGTGTTTTTGTGTCCCTTACTTATTCCACTAACTAATTTAAAATAGAAGTAAAAAGAGAATTACTGTTTTCTTGCGATTTTAACGAAATAAAAATAAAATTTTGTGAAATTGTGAAATAATTTAGAAGGAAATTAAGTTGTCTCTCTTTCTTTGCAATTCTATCCGTTTTCGATCTAGAGAGACCTACTATTCTGTACTCGCATGCAAAACAAAAAAAAAAAAAAACAGCCTGCGGAACTAGTTCCTAATAGATAGGAAATAAGAATAAAGATAGAGAATGATGGTAGAATTAAGACAGGAACTCAGTAGATCGAATTGCTTCAGTTGTTGTATTTCAGGAATTGAACTGAATGATAAATGAATAATTTAGATGTGGGTTAATCAGTATAAAATTTTAATGTTGTCAAACAAATAATTTTGAGAAAAAAATATAAACATATTATGTCAAGACTTTTCCTTGTTAATTCTAGCGTGTAAAAACTCTTTATAATCTGTTTACATATTATGGCGGCATCTCCAAGCGTTCCTCCTGTTGTATTGGTAGCAGCTTCTGCAAACATTTTCGAGAGGCGCTGTTTACATATACACATGGTTCAATGAAGAGAAGGTAGGTCAACTTTGAAATAATTGCAAGTATAGAGGTCTACCTGTTTGGCTTGTAATGTCAGAATTACTATCAGAACAATAAAAAAGCAAACAACTTGTTGCATTGATTTTGAATAAATAATTTAAAACCGCGAAAACTGAACGAATGGTCAAAATTTCTTCTCAATATCATGTTCTATATATCTCTTATGGCTTATTTCGCGACAAAAACTGTAGATTTTGTCGATGCATTCGTTGCAATAAGCATTTTGAAAACACCCGAATTTGAATATTTTCTGAACAATTTTTTAATATTGAAAAGGAGACACACACATATGCAAATGAAGTTGACATATTAAGCCAGAAAAATAAAAAAATTTAAATCATATGGTAGTTCTGCCCTACCTTGAATTCATTGTACCATGCATATACATACCTATGCCATGTTTATATTAGGACATTTTGTATGGTTAACCAACTTTAAAAGGATTCATTTGAAGTATAAGCAATGGATATGACAATTAATCCAAATCCAATGGGTTAACCCACTTTCATGTAAGCGTACTGTTAAATTTATCTCAGTAAATTTTTAAGACAAGTATTTAAAAATACAGCCAAGATCATCATACTCAACCTGTTTTTTTTGTGCTGTTCAATCTTTCAATTTCATGGCTAAAGTGGTTAATAGTTTTAATACGCGAGTCGCATGAATGTGTCTTCCAATCATTGGCTTTGAAAATATTTTGTTTTAATTTTTCAAAATGACAAATATGTACACAAAATTGGCAGAAGTCAGGCGAAAAAAATTGTCATCAGCTGGTAGCTCTAACTTACCTTTTTATTGTACCATGGGGAAATAGGTTATCGAAGTAAGAAATTTTACATTCTTGCAGTTCTAGATCAGTCCAATTAACTTTTTTATAATTTCGATACATGAACTTTTGTTTAACAATTCGATCACTTTTTTAATTAATTATTGGATTTACTAATACGTTTATATCATTTTCACTAAACACTATTCACAGTCTCCAAAATTATAGCTCTGTTTCGCAAACATCTACTAGTTTTGCAATTTTTTCGATATCATGAAAGAGAAAATCGGTTATCGTAGAAAAATGTTTATAAACAAAACTATGTCTCTTTCCAAGTTAATTCTACTCGTCTTCGATCTAGAGATACCGACTTTTTTTCGAGTGGAAAGGAGAAGGGAATACATCTCTCCACTCCTTCATTGTTATTCCGAACAACAGCTCTTCGAGTGGAAAGGAGAGGCACATAAAACTGTGTCTCTTTCCATGTTATTTCTACCCGTTTTCGATCTGGAGAGACCTATTGTCTTCGAGTGTAAAGGAGAAGGAGAAATAATACCTCCCTTTTTTCGAAATCGTTCCATTTTCGGTCTCTAGAAACCTACACTAATTTTTCGATGAAGGTTAGAAAAAGCGCGGGGAATTGCCCAGGAAGAAAAATTAATTAAAAAAAAAAATAAACTTATTGGCCACATAAATTGAAAAAGTATGTTATTTTTTTATAAATTTGAAGCATGACCGAATTGAATACTTGCTCCATTGAATGTGAAACGAAGACATCGGATACAACAACTCCTCGTTCAGCTGTAACTGTGGAAAATGGATGTAATGGACGCGATATTATTCCGGTCACTCATCCACGTATAGATTCGAAGATAATTCTACAGAATATGGAAGAAGTGCTTCAAACTGTAAAAAAACAGCACAAGGAAAAACATCGTCGTAAAAAGGAACTGAAAAAATTGGCCATGATAGAAGCGGCAACAGCTGGAACTTCGAACAAAAAGACTGAGGAATTAGAAGAGTCAGGTCGTAGATCATTGAACAGTGAAAAGAAAAACAAACATCGCGATAAAGAGAAACGTCACTCAAAAAAGCGACCACTTCAAGAAAAATCGACGCTAGAAAATGGTAAAGTATGTCAAGAAAGTCCCATCAAGTCGGGAACTATTTTACAGCATTTCCCCCGTACACCAAAAAAGGAGGCACTTGACGAAAGTGCACCAGTCGAAATTGGAGAAACTGTACAGGACGCCAGTAAAAACGACCATGAGAATGACAATAGAGTGAGTACCAGCGGCAAGCCTGCAAAAGTTACAAATGCCTTTGAAGTTATGATGAATGCGCGCAATAAGACCATAGGATCGAACACTCCTGGGAAAGACTCACCTTCACCAGTAGCTGACAAAAATACCAATGAGGGTATGGTCAGAAGAAGGCTGAAGCTTCAAGAGTGGGCCGAGCAGAAAGGCGGTGCTAAAAGAAAACTCGAAGAAGAAGCTAGGGCAGCTTATGTAGAAGATCAATTGGAACAACGTGCTAAGCGGTAAGACATTAAAATTGGAAAACAATAATATGTTACTTTGAATTATCATTGTATTGTAGGTTTAAGGAGATGTTAGTGAATGGTGGTAGTCCGAAAGCGCTCGCAAATCATAAACAAGGAACAATGCAGCAGAAAACGAAACAAAGGATGTCTGATCGAAGCCAAAAGGACAAGGATTGTGTAAAAGAAGTTGAAACAAAGAAGCGCAAACCACGCATTCGGCGCATGAGTTCAGTTGATTCGGTCGATTCCGTTGAAATGTCCAAACCGCTACTTGATACTGAAACGGAGGAGTTTTTGTCAAAATTGAGCTCACCAACAAAAAAACGCGATAGTCTGCTGGGATATTTCCACAAAAAAGAATCGCCCAAGGAACTTGCGGAGAGGCAATCAAATGATTCAATCAAAAAGGAAGGTGTATTGTGCGAAAAAAGAGAAACATTCAATGATGAGCTTAAGTGGACAAATACACCAGTACCAAATGATTCAAACTCAACTATTCAGTTCGAAGTTACAAGCACACCCAGTGGTAGGCCAAGACGCTCCTGTGTTGGAAAAGCACGATACGATATTGACTTGGAAGAAAGTCCATCAAAAGGGGAAAAAGCTACACCAGGTCGTAAAAACGCTCATCGGAGTAACTGTCGCCAATCAACCAACAGAGCCTCTCCTAAACAAGAAAGTGGTGAAGATGTAATTGTTTTGGATGACAGTTCTAATATGAGTGCAAGTATGGACAATGTTACACCACGCGGAACACCGAAAAAGTTAGCCCCATTATTTGTTCGTTCTGTGCCAAAACCCAGTCCTGATCCTGAAATTTTAAAAGCACGGAAAGCCTTTCTCCTTTCTGGTGTACCTGAAAAATTGCGCCTTGGACAAGAAAAACAGAAGCTGCAGGAACAAAATTACGAAGAATCTATTGAAATATTTCCCCAAATATCGCATATCAAACAGTTAACTGCAGATGAAAAGAATATTGTTGAACAAAATTTCACATGCACATTTATACTGCAACCAGAAGCATATTGTTTGAAAACGCCTTCGCCGCTGCCAATGCGTAGGGGAAAAGGTAAATTGGCTAAACGTAATTTTCAAATCGGAACCCTTTCCGATTGTTCAGCGGCAGACTTTAAGGTAAGTCATTTAATATTTAATGTAAATCATACTGTAAGTTTCGCCACTCCTTGCTTCTCCTTAGGATTATATGTATGAGCCCAGCTCGAGTACGATTTTTTTGCATTATTTTTAGATTTCTCTTTTAATGTAGTGTAGTATTTATTTAAAATTTTTAAACTGAGATATGACTCAAACAAATTGTTGGCTATGGCCAATCAAGATTGGGACACAAAGGGTCATTATAAAATTTAACTTCACCCGTCGTAGACTGAATTGCTAATTGAATTGATAGAAAAAAGCCCATAAATGTGCAAATTAGAGCTTCCATTCAAAAAAAATTATACTGGTTATAGTTGCAAAATTGAGACATTACAGTAAAAATTGTAATAACCAATTATGTCATTGATTTTTTTTAAATGGCTATAACTTCGGCTATAAAATTCATTCTACAGATTTTTATATACGTAGTAAATAATTGCATCTTATATATTTATGAACATATCATGTGTGACCTAGTCGATGAATATTGTCGATGATATTGTCTTTCAAACTAGTTATTGTTTGTGTGTAACATGCACTGAATGGAAGACAACTGCAATATGTAATTGTAAGGAATTGTTGAGATGGTTATAATAAAAGTTCTCCAATGTTGTAGAGTTACTATGCTTATCAAAATCCTTGTATATAATGTACAAATAAAGTACAAAATTTTTAAAATATTTTAATTTTTCTATTGAATGTAATTTTTAACTTTGATAGGGTAACGGGAGCACGACATATTCATTTAACATTGAACATATGATGCTGCCCACTTTGGCCAACAAACGGGCCATTATTAAGAACTGGAAAACGGAATTTGAACGATTTCCAACCTATAAATGCTACAACCAGATGCGAGAAAAATATCGTTACTTTAGCGCTATAGATTCAGCACAGGACACAGAACAAGTGTCGGATTCATTGGTGGTAACAAGACGGACACGACGTTCATTGGAGCAACAACGTAAAAACGTACCCGATAATCCCGACGAGGAATACAAGCCACCTCCCACTGCTCCGAACGGAGAATTGCTGTTTAGTGAAAAATACAAACCATTGTTGTTTGAACAAGTTTTGGTCAACTTAAACCCGGTAACACAACTACGTGATTTTCTCTCCAATTGGTCAAGTGGGTCCGCCTCTAACAGCGCAAAAAATTCTCAGAACCTTGACGACAGCATAGACTTTAATGACTCCTCGTGTAGTAACCAGGGTGCATCTTGTAATACGGTGGTGCTTCTGGGGCCAGTGTCATCTGGAAAAACTAATGCAGTATTTGCTTTAGCTAATGACATGAATTTCAATGTTTTGGAAATAAATGCAGGCATGAAAAGAACGGGGAAAAAGTTGATTCAAGAATTACAGGAAGCAACTCAATCACATCAAATACGCAAAGATGCTGCGGGTTCGGGTTCTTCACAAAAGAATAATCTACTAAAAAAATCTCTAAACGGCCTTAAAACACAAATGAAGCGACAAAACTCGAATAATGTTGATTCGGTTGGCAGTGACTCCAGTAGTAGTGAATTGACGCAATCAACGCGAAAGTGCCTTATACTTATAGAAGATGCCGATATTGTGTTTGACCAAACGGATGCTGGTTTCACGGATGCTATTTATACATTGGCTGCCAGTTCCAAACGACCCGTCATCCTAGTAGCATCTAATCCAAACTGTAGTCACTTGCAGCGTTTAATGGCTCAAAATACAATACATTTCTCCTCTCCCAATGTGTTAAATATTTCAAAGTTCTTGGCAGTACTATCGCTCATTGAAAACTGTCCTGTGCTTTTGGATGACATAATATCTTTGTATCTTTATAATAACAGAGATTTAAGAAAAACTCTGCTGGAACTTCAGTTTTTCATACAAAGCGGAGGCGATAGGCAAAAGCAATTGATGAATAACACAGACGGCAATACAAAATCGGCTGAGACCAAAGAGAAAAGTAGCAGTTACTTCGCGTCACCACGTAAACGCCAATTTTCTGTGGAGCAAGAACAAACAGATAGTCAAGAGAACATCCCACAAGCAAACGTCAAAATGCCCGCTAGTGAAAAGTCAACATATAAAGGAGTTTACATGCATCGATCGCTGTTTGAGTTCTATACAGTCTGTCAGAATTCTAAGTTCCGTGTACCCTTTCCTGTTGATTTTCGAACATTCGGTATAAATTTGAATGATATTTTTGGAGTTTCTCGTAAATTACTAGAAGTCAGCGAACCAACGGCCCAGAAAGCTTTGCCGAAGTGCAACAATTCTTCGAAGCGTAGATCAAAGTCTCCCAAAAAACAGTGGATTAGAAACCATGCTGGTAGTCCCTTGGATAATTTATGCTCTTTCTATGAAAATTTATCAGTTGCTTCCATGTTAGACAACGAAACCGAACAACATTCAATGTCATCGATAATGGATCGCTTGAACCCAAATTTATCCGAATGCATTTCACACAAGCTGCTTGAGAGTGCAATTGATATAAATCTGGAGGCCGATACGTGCCCCTACAATTTGTTCGATACTCCAAAAACTATGTAAGCTTATCTAAATATGCAAACGCACGCAAATGTTAACCATTTTACACCTTTTTTGCAATTACAGAATATCTCTTTGCAATGAAATGATGCCATTGCAAATGCGATCCAGAAGAGTGCGCAATTTGGATTATGAGCCGGCCTTAAGGAACATCTGTCGCAGTGAAAAGATACGTTCAACTCTAGAGAGGCGCTCAACACGCTTTTATCACTATTTAAGAACATATGCGGTAAATGTGTGCAATTTTTCTACAGCTACTTTTGACCAGGCCTGCGATGTCTTCCAAGGCACATCCGAAGTGGAGGATACACAAACGACCGATGCAACATAATATAGTGGTCCCATTAAATATACATACTATTAAGAAAGGTAGTGTCCAACTTTAATATTTATTTATGATGTATATAATTGAATTTTTATACTTCTTTTCTTAAATTGCACTGTTGGTTAAGATTTTGTGAAAAAAAAAACGATTTTTGACATTTACGAATAGGTCTATTACCACAGTTAAGGTACTCTATGTTTAAATTTAACTTAAAATACATCAATACTACAATTAAATTCGATTCTTTTTAAAAAGAGAAAACAACCCCTTTCGTTTCTTTTCCCGTCGGCAACATTCATCCTCCTGGGTCTTTGCCTCTCTTGAAGGCACACATTGTTGTTGGCACTATAATTATTAAAAAAAAACAGAACAAGTCATACTTTCAATTCTTTCTGTAGCAAATATTCTTTGAAATGATAAGAATCATCAGGAATTTCTTCACTTTTGTGTGATTAATTCAAAACAATGTTCCGTTGTTTATATTATTATCTTTTACTCACCTCGTTATCAACTACACCTATTTTGAACGATTTCATTTGTTGGATCGCATCAATAGAATGTCCCACATCATTGAATGCCTTTGTGGCATCTCTTCCAGCGTATTCTATTATTAAATCTTCTCCGCCAGGATGCTGTAAATGTGCAAATATGTTAATAACTTCCACTTAGCCAAGAACCCTGATAAACATACTTCCTTTACAAATGTCGTGACATCATAAACGTCACCCTTTATAATTATCCACACCGGTTTTCCATTTTTACCATCGTTACCCGATATATCACATAGAGTATATTTTCCTATCATTTTTTATCTATGTATTTTAAAACACAGACACTTGGTTTTCACTCTTTGACGTTAATAACACAAATAATTGAAGATACGCTAGGAAATTGAGTTTTATATTTGTAGTGTGTCTAAAAAAGATAACGGCTTCGGCTTGATTCACATTTCTGTATGTTCATATTTCCATCATTGTTATCAAACGAATTATGATTGTTTTGTTTATACACCAATGAGGTATTCAAATTTGTCTATCCGGCTGTAACTTATTTAGTTATTTATTTTGGACGATATGTATGCACTGAAGGTTTAAGCCTTGTAATCTAATTAATATAAAGTATTCAAAATTCAATATTTCATTTTCTGTGTCTGCGATTTCGGAAATGATTTCGGAAGCAATTTTCGCAAAAAGATTGATTTTTTTATGATGGTAGCGTTAGTTTTTTGTCTTGGATTGGTTGGAACTATTTTTGTTCCACGTGTTCCCCCAACAACAATTATTGTATTTTATGGATAAAATTCTAGCTTGTTCAATTTATTATTGTCAGCTAAATGTCATTACATCGCAAGGAAATTTCAATAGATATTTTCATTCATTAACCACATCAATTAGAGTTATTTACTCAAGAACAATGCCCCTTTTGCGATAAGAACTACGTGAGGCACTGCATTGATATTATTAAATATTATTATAATTTTATCGAACCATTAAAATGAATTGATGTACACCAAAAGCAAACTGTGTCTATTTTAAAAATACGATTTTATCATTCCTATCGTATGTGAGTCAACAAAACGCGACCTTCATATGTTTGAAAAATCTTTAACTTATTCAGATAGCAACGATGTGTGTATAAAAGAAACATTTTTTGGTACTTACTCTGGCTTTTCCACTTATAAGTGTATTTGTCGAAGTGCACAAAAAAAATGTAGAGCTAAAATCCGCCCAAGATTATTTATTTGCAATGAAACGAAGAATGTAGCTGATGATTTCATTATTTCCCATTGAATTTGATTTATGTGTTTATTTCTCTTTCGAGACGAGCATAGTGATCTGAAATTTGCAGTGAAAAGGAAAGCCAGGTACACACTATCACACACTCACCACTATGCGACGCGTTTCGCCGTAGGTTAAGCGGCTTATTAGGCATATTTGGTGTGGATGATGGCTTACAAGGGCGTTCTCTGGTAGTAGTAGTATTTATTTCGAACTTATTGCGATAAGGCATAACCGAATTAAGCCAGAAGCCCTCTATGTTCGACTCAAGTTCTATTAGCAGATCTTTTTCACAGCAAAGTTTGTTTTTGTAGTGATGAATCTTTTGTCCACAACAACTACATTCCTTCCAATGTTTACACTTGTTATAGTGCTGCTTTAGCAAAACGGGTTAATAGCTCTGAACGTTTAGACTGCAAATTCTTAGATTTAGATGTAGACATTAAAAAACAAGTAAGCAAAGGCTATAGTCGTGCGGAGCCGACCATGTGATACCCTACAACACTTCAATATGTTCGAAGTCCCCTTATGCCCAAATCCATTTTCGAATATTTCGGTTTTAAAATAATGTAAAAAATAATGTTCTTGCCCTTATCTCTCTTGTGATGCAATAGGTTTCTATTCTGACCCTAACCCTACCTCTATTTTCAATTTCGGGCCATAATTGCGACATGTATTTGAATTCATGTTAACATGGACAGACGGACGGACATATATAGCTAGATCGACTCCGCTCGGGGAGATAGGAAAATCCGTATATACTTTCCTATGTGTGAAACCAATATTTCGAGGTGTTACATAATTTGTATAAATATTACAAAAAAAAAAAAAAAAATAAAAAAAAAAATAATAAATAAAACGACGACGATGACGGTAACAACAAAACATCTATAAACAAACACGAACATGTATACACTGGGTTGGCAGCCCCTGGCCGAAACTGGAGTTTTGTCGTTTCGGGTGTCGTAGAACCCGCTATCGTGGGTCAACCATGCCACGTCAGATACATTTGAAAAATATATTCTTCTGCTTTTCATAATAGAGGATCAATACAAAGCAAAGCCAATTTCTATGACGGCACATCCACAATTGGCTAAAGGCAGCAAACGAATCCATTTTTTTTGAGGCGCGTGAGACTTAATTCTTTTTAATTTTTGAGTTTTGCATTGTTTTCTTTTTTTACATTTTCGATATTTTATGAAGTAAATGCTGCCAAATCTGAATAATACACTCGAAATTACTGACAAATAAATCCATTCAGTTGCAGCACTTTTTACTCGATCCGAAACTGTTAGTAGGAGTTTAAATTCGGATCGAATACAATTTTCGACTTGTTGGAACTTTCGATTCGAGTTAAATAGTAACCCCCAGGCCCGCACAATACGCTGCATCTGTTTAATTGTCCAGCCAAGCCTACCCAACTTCGTCCAGAGGATCTCTGGCTACAGTCCATAAAGGTAGCAGAATTCCTAAACCTGGACTTTGAGGAGGAACCGGGTTAATCAGTATATAAACGACGGAGCATGTTAAAACTGCTACAACAACAAAACATCTATCAATGGTAATATACATATTAATATTGTGAATCATGACCTCGGATAAATGTTTATTTGCTTTGCAATTTAAACCGAATTATTGTCAAAATATTTTCTTCTTGAGATGCGTCCGAGTATCTACAACGTAGCAAGGCGTATCTGAGATTCCTTTTTTCATTATCACCAAAATTGTGCCCCAGTAGTGTCATCAGTATTTTTTTATAAGATTACTTTCATCACATTCCATGATCGAAGCAGCAGCTCAAAATATTTTATATTTTTAACTTTGCTATATATATTTCGATTATTATTCTGCAATTATTATTTTCAAATTGATTAAAGCGATTCCCCATTAGATGCCATGTCCACCACATCATAAATTCCTTGATTTCGTAATATAATTAAAACTACATTTGTTGGCTCTTGTTTTGATTCAACATTTTACTTATATTTTTCATGTAAGTTTTTATTTATCATATATAAGCAAATAAAAAAATTTTCTTTCATCTTTTTTTTTTCGTAAATGATGGATGCTGTATTACTTTTAATTATTTAATAGTAATAGTTATAGTATGGGATGCATTTATCATAATAATGTAGTTTTGTATATATTCTTCGCAATGACGAATGTGTAGAGCTTAGACATGGAGATTTGTATTATCTCCTCTCTCTCTTTCTCATTTGAGATTTCCATTCATTTCAGTGTGTAGTGTGTCTGCCTGTCTATCTGTCTGCAGCATTTATGTTTTCTGTACACGTTTTTCTATGTATAATTTTGTATTATTCAAAAGTATAGAATCCGCTGTTTATTTTTGGAGAATAAACCAACATGTTTTTTGTTTTCATTTCTTTTTTCGTCGTTTATATAAAATAAAAGGATTATGTTATACAAAAAATGGAAACACTTCAAGTGTCAAGCTTGGTAATTAAATTTATATTAAATATATAGTATTATTATAATTTTTATAAATATTGATTTATATGTTTCTTGCTTTATTTGTTTTATTGTTTTAGCTAATTGGATCTTCGCAATAATGAAGAGGTGCAATTTTTAAGAGTTTTTCGAGATAGGAATAATGGGGCCAGTGCGATAAATGGGTAATTTTAATAACAATTATCAGTTGTGTGGAGGAAAGTAATAAAAAATTGGTTTCATTTTTTCCTTTTTTGTATATTTAAGTTACATACATTTTAAATGTTAACAAAAGAACACACACATGTATACACATTCAAAAACGGACACGTACATATTAAAGGCATTCAAAATATCATTATTTATGGTACTATAATCATATATACTCTCGGTCATATCTTTATTTCCTATTATTTCAGTTTGAATTGTTAATTTAACTTCGATCGCAGCATATAATATTAATATAAATGTTTTCTTGCTCTGGTAGGTTTTACGATATATTTTGATTTATTTTTTGGAAACTTCTTAGTTGGAATCAGGATTATATTTTATATATTACAAAAACAAAAAATTAAACTGTTTATGTAATAAAAGAACAATATTACAAATAATCGTAAATATTTTTGTTTTTAAAAAATACCTTTTTTTGTAGTATATCAGTTATCATTTTTACAAAATCAATGTTTTCCTGTGTGTTACAGCTTTAAAGTAAAAAAAAACTTTAAATCAGTAATATTCTTAGTTTTTGCCCTAATAATAAAAAACCTATATGATACAAATTGTAAAGAAAAAAAAAACATACATTTTTTCTTATTATTTAATTAATTATTTCTAAATTTATATAATTTATTTTAAAATATGGTTTTTATTAAGAGTATAGCTAAAATATATTTACACACTCAAACTCGTTTTTTGTTTTCTTTTTTTTTTTTTTTGAAAAATTCAAAAATTATGTTCGCAAAACTGCTTGGGTTCAGCAGCTACTTAGCGCTCACAAGTATTGGACATTTAGATTTTCATGAAAAACCTTTCTCACAATATGCCATTCGTGTAGTATTGGTAGCCATCGTATAACTTTGTCGAAAGACTCTTGAGCGAATCTTGCACCAATTGTTCTACTTTACGTTCCATTTCTTGTTCCGTTAAATTCATATGGAAGCGTTTGCGGAGATTCTGCACGGTACCGGAACAACCATTTTTGAAGCAAGGCAGTTGGGCATCTGCAAATGAAAAAAAAATATATTTTATTAAAGTAAAATCTGTGTGACACATAACTTTTTAGTTTCAGTAATAGAATAGCTTTCGGGTGACATTTTAGTTTCTTATTTTTTAAGATCTTTGAAGCCTACTGATAATACTCCTACTGATAATGCCTCAATAATGACTCATTTACAAGCCCTTCAAAACACTTGAAAATAAAATACATCTTCCCCATTTATATATTTCTACGGAAATTGGTTATTTCTCATACCGAGTCATCCATCACTGGCATACGCACCTACGTTGTTTGTAATCAAAATGATGTTCATTAAATAATTTGTAAAATTTCGTACAAAATATTATTAATTTCACACAGATAGTTTTATAATGCATGTTTTAACTGTTATTGGAAACACATTTCAATTTCCCATTAAATTTGAGAGCTTTTACTGGAGCCGTGTCATAATACCCACGCACATAAACCCCCATTACAATTATGGGGATTATGACCGTTTTTTGGTCATAACCCCAATAATGGAATGGATATTATGTCCAAGAAAAAAATCATAATAGATATGTCGAAAATGAATGAATGAATTCTCCTATGGGTATGTCCGGCACCGGGTATCATGAACCAAAGTTTTCTACATTTTAAAGTTTTTATAAGTAAACGGCCTTTGGCAAGGGCTTAAAAGTTCAGGGCGAGATGAAAAAAACTGCAAACAAGATCAGACTGCTGTCATTTCTTAGCCACTCGTCCGACAGCTGTTAAAATTATTCCAATGACAGCTCATTATATTGTTTACAAGCGTACAAAAGCATTTTGGTGAGAATTTTCAAGAAAAAAAGTTATTCGTGGTGGAATTCAAGCGTGATAGTGTGATTTCTTTATATTTGGCTGGAAAACCACAAGTGGCTATCGTTAGAGCACTCCAGCATTTAAATGTGAATAAATCTTTTGTGCGTAGCCCGACGTCAAGGAAGTGGACGGAAGAAAACAGAAACATCAGCAGAAATGGGTCGAAAAGTAAAGAAGCGACTTGATCGAAACCCGCGTCGCAGTGGCCGAAAAATGGCTCGTAATACTCTATTCGGCAAATATTGAAAAATGAGCTCGAGGTACAGACCTTGAAATTCCAAAAAGTGCAAGAACTTACACCGCAACAGAAAGAAAATAGACTCAAAAGAGCTTCGCTTGGCCAAAAAGGTCAGCTGAAAATGTGCGCTTGATTTCCAGCGCAGAATGGCAACCAAAATCTCCGGATACCAATCCGTTTGACTATTGTGTCTGGAGTATTTTGGAAAGCAAGGTTCGCATTAAAATATACCAAAGTGTCGATCACCTCAAGCAAGCGCTTCGCCGGGAATGGGCCAAAATACCACAGAACAACATTCGGGCAGCGTGTGACGGTTTCGCACGGCCGTTCGAAGGTCATAATTCGTGCCAAAGGTGACCAATTCGAACAAATCTAAACTTATTCTAAAATTTGATTCTATTTCCGACTTTTTTTTGCTTTCATTCAATAACATTTTAAAAAAATGTAAAAATTATGACATTTGACTTTGTTGCAGTTTTTTTTTATCTCACCCTGTATGTCACGCACCGGCAGCCGTCATTGTGCGAATATAATTCGAATCGTTTCCAATCGTCGAAACGTTTATCTTGAGATCCTGTGATTATTGCTTAGTTGTTTACTACCACATCAAATTTAATTTTTATCCTCAACTTTGACAATTTTTATTACAGTCTACTATGTACTATGTCATAAGATCAAATGTGTTGGTTTCAAACTTGTTGATATACATAAGCCCTCGGGATATCCAAGGGATTCAACTTTGCAAATAATTAAATTTATGTCATATTACTCATTTTTTTTTTTTTTACTTTTTTAACAATTTCCATAAACACAAATATACTTACTGCTTCTCATTATTTCAACAAAGTTTATAATACGATCCATATGTTTACGAGCTGTCATCATGCCCACTAACAACAGACGGTTAAATTCACGCCAATGTTCGGTATTTGTACCGCCCATAACTTCAACAAACTCGGGAGTCAACTTGAATGGGGATTGTTCGAAACCTAAAAAAAAAAACAGAAATAAAATCCCGTTATAATTTTCAAAATTCAAATTTATTGTGGTCAAAGAAGGCAATCGTTACCTAAGTTTTTGGGCGATATGCTTAGAATAAAACCAAAGTCGATGTGAATAATGTGGCCGTCAGAGTGTAGCAGAATATTGCCATTATGTCTACGGTGAAAAAAAAACGACACATTAAAAATTCATAAAAATTCCTAGTGTGTAATTCTGATGGGTACAATACTAACCTATCTTTAACTTGCAACAAATACGAAATCAAGCAATATGCTGCACAGCTTTGAACAAAATTCTTTTGGGCAATTCGGAAAGCATCACTATCGGCAGGACCGTATTCATCGATGAAATAATCCCTCAACGACTTGTTGGAATTCTTCTTTATTTGATGCAACGATACTGTATTCAGGATTGGCTCTATGAGACCGCTGTCGTTAGAGAGACAAACAATTTTGTACGGACGTACCCACAGGTCCACATGTTCCTCCTGCCAGATTATTTTGAACATCTACATTGATTGAGATAAAATGAGAAACATAAGAAAAAATGCATGATGTCAATACCAGGGCATTGTGGGTGCTTACCTGCAGAAGTTGAGTTGCCATCAACTCTTGCCTAAGGTCATCACCACATTTCACAATGGCAGAAAGAAGACGCCAATTTGATAAATGGCCATAGGGCGATGATTCGCGTATTTGTTTGACCTTTTCATCCCATGGTTCCTATGAGAAGAAGAAAAAGCGTATGTTAAGATGTGTTTTTTTCGGACGCACTGATAAGATACCTTAAGTGCTGCTGCAGATGGATCTTCAGGGTCATTGCTAAAGGACTTTGTGTTTTCACAGTTCAGATTATTACAATGGCGGGTTCGGACATCTCCAATATTGAATAGAACGGGCATACCTACACGAAAACGACGAGTTATATGACTGTCAAAGTTCTCTCGGACAATATACAGTGTACAAATTACCTTGGTCTCTTGAATCGCAGGAATCCAATGACATTTGCGATATGGCATCTCTTTCGGAATTTGCACGCATTTTCCGCATATGCAAATATTGTGCTGTTATCTCATCGTCCTCCTGCGACCACACGTCGTCCTCGTTGAGTTGAGGTGGGGACAATAGTAAATTATTTCCTCCGGTCTGGTGCTGGTCCTGTGACGCATTGTTATCGGTCGTGGATGATTCGGACAAGAGTTTCTCCTTCTTACGGCGACAACTGTTGTGGCTACTACAACTTGATGTCCGACTACAGGTAGCATGTTGGAGTTGTTGGTTGTGGTGATGTTGACACGATCCACTTCCCCCCACTTCAAGGTGTTCTTCTGATTTTGTATGCCTCAGCGAGGGCATCATTTTGGGTATAAGGGAAGAGGAGTAGATATCAGGCACTTCCACCACCTCCACATAGATGATGTAGGGCGTCTTATCTTTAGAGTTTAGAACAGCAGTCTTTTCCTCGGTAATACGAACTACATGATGTGGAATGTCGGAATACAAAGGTAACCAAACACGAGCGGGTAAATTCTTGTTTATCAAATTCAGAAACATTCGAAGGGCAGATGTCTTCTCGGCCTTTGAAGGCAAATTGGTTAGATTTTTACCCACATTCATGAGAGCCTTCATGAATTCTTTCTGTGGCGCCGTTTTTGGTGCGTTGCAAGAACACACTGTTTTGTGACCCAAGAGATCGTTTACTTGTCCTCTGACCGTTTCAAAGCAGGTACAGCCATTGTCGAAGGCCCTGCCGGATGTCAGATCTCCCAGGCATAATTTGGCGGGGGTAGCTGGCAAGGTTTGTGTAGTGTAAGGTGGTTGCTGATACAAGCGGTTAGCTATACTAAGACTCGAAGCGTTGCGACGCGAATCTGCGAGTAGAACTGTAGCATCTGATTGAGACCTGTGATGCGTTTTCTTTGTAAGTGGAGAAACGGCGCTGGTGTGGGTAGAGGAGCTACCTTGTTCCCTGGCATCGGCTTTTGTAAGTTGCTTTCGCTCCTTTTTCGAATAGATCTCCTTCATTAAAGCCAATTGCGATTTTCGAGAACCCATGGAATCGTTATGTTGATAATTGTAGGCCTCTAATAGCCATAGGCACTTTAGAGAGAAGTCCACGGATTTCCGACACCTGATTGTTAAATAGGGGTCCAGCACTTCAGCCAGCTCGTCCATCTGTATGTACATGACAATCAGCTGGGGTATGTAAAGATCCACTTCCTGATCGGGGAAGCTGAATATTTTGTTGCCAATGAAACTAAGCACTCCGGGTTCCTTAGAGTAGAAGAGATAATGAATGGCAAAGTGAATGTTGAAAACTGGTGATTCAAAAAATCTCAATAGTCCACTGGGACCTTTTTCAGTCTTTTGTTGATTTGCCGAATCTTGCAAATTATTAGGACGCTCTTTGATAAAGCATTTCACTACACCTGGTACTTTGAGCTTGTTCAATGATGATATGGAAGAAGATTTTGATATTGACGAGTTGGAAGTGGAGAAGGAGGCGATGGTGGACAAGGCGGTTGCGGCATTAGGTACTTGTAAACTCAACGTCTTCTCAATGCATTCGGCGGAATCCTTATCATTCGATGCTTTATCAGTATTGCTACACGGAGACGTCACCTGGTCAGCAGAACAAGATGAAGTTTGTGCCAGAGGCGTGGTTGCCGGAGAATTGGTGGAAGAACTACTGGCTGCCGCTGCAGCTGCAGCCATAGCTGCCTTTTTGCTCGCGTTCGTTGAAAGCAAGCCAAAAAACTCTTTCTTCTTCGAAATATCCGTTGGCGACTTGATCTGATCTGTGGGTGTGGATGCACCCACACTTCCCGAGTCATCTACAGACTTTTGAGTCTGTTTCGAGGCATTCTTCTTTTCATGATTTTCAATAATACTCTGGGCCGTGCGAAAAATGGCGTTTTTAGTTGCGCCAAAGAAATTTTTAAACAGAATATCATTCTTGGATGACTCTACGGGGGTTGATGGTGTCTTCGAAGAAGTCACCAAGGAATTCTGAGAATTTTGGGTAGGTGTTGGACAATCGACAGTATCGCTGCCGGCAGTTTCAGTTGTCGTTTCGGAGGATATTTTGCACTTTTCCAAGGACATGGCCGCTTGAGACATATTCATATCTCGGTAACGTTGACGTTCACTTAGAGCATCTGCGTCTGCTTTAATATCCGCTGGCATGATGTCTGTATTGGATTTTTCGTTGCTGTTTTCATGCTGCCTGTTGGCCTTGTTTTTCTTGGATGGCCGTAATGTGCGACAATCTGTATCTAGCGTCTGGTAGAAACACAAATCCGATTGCAGCATATTGTATTCCTCGTCCATGGAATTTGTTTCCAGCATATCGATACATTCCTCTTCATTGTCCATTTCACCCGAATCCAATGACTCGTGTGAATGTCGAATGCGATTTAATGAGATTTGATCGGAATCCGAGCCACATATGATTCCTGTGTGGGAGAAAATAAAATGTGTTTTTAAATTTGCCAATGTTTGAGGGTAATTTCAATGACATACCTGAATCATCGGAACCGAGACTTGTGAGGTCTTCACGTTTTTTTCCGCCGTTTGCATTTATACCTCCCGGTCCATTATGAACAGCCAACACATTGTTAGAGCTACTTGCAAAGGAGGAGGTGGTCGAAGCAGTTGAGGAAGCTGTGGAAGCCGATGAGGCAGCCCTCTGTACGGTTGATGATGACGACGAAGTTGCTGAATCTGAGGATTTAGGTCGCAGTCGGGCACCGAGACAATGTGGTTCCACTATAAGAATACAAGAAAAAATACATGTGTCAGTAAATTCTAACTATTCAATAGAATTTGCATCACAGCTGCCATATGTAGATGAAATACATCAATGCTAATGAACAAGTCAACTTTTCCATTCCTAAGAACACACACACATACACACCTATGACATTGTTCTGTTGTGAAGCTACTGCTCCTCCGTTTGCCGCAGCTGCCAATGATGCCTGTGTGGCCACCATTGTACTTGTGGGCTCTGTTGTGGATACAATCTCCGTGGCATTGTCGACACCCGCCGCGCACGCAGCAGCGTGTGACGCTAGCGCTGTGTTTGGTCCTGTCAAGGCATTTGTTGTCGATGACGTCAGTGCGGGTGTTTGAGTTGTTGTCAGCGCCGCCGTTACGTTTGCTGCTGTCGTTACAATTTTCGAGCACATTGTTGACCCGAGTATGGATGGTGTGCAAAATGTGTTCTCACTTTCAGCATTGGGCGATGAGACTTCAACCTGTTAAAGAAAAAGAAACGGAGCAAAAAAAATATGGATTACCAATTAGGCGATTGTGGGCAATAGTGTGGATTATGGGGCTGTTGCATTCTCCTCTCAAGACTAAAAATAAGGGAGTGAGAGAGAGAGAACTTGTGCTATACTTGTCATTCTTTTGCCAAATGGAAATAAGCTGCCATTTAATCACATGGGAGCATTCTTAACAAAATAAACTTGATTACTCGAATATGTAATAGAAAGCATTTCGCACATAAACACATAATCACTGCTGCGTAGTTATGTCGAACTTAGAACTATTAAGACTTACCTCGGGTATCCTTTGTAAAGCACTGTCCAAGCTGCGATTACGATGATGCTGTGTCAGATTTATGCGGGTGTTTGTTACTTGAGAAACTGGTGGCAATAATATTCCCATAGATCTAAAAATAAAAAAGGACCAGAGGTCAGCAATTATTTTGAATAAAGGTGGAGCATACAGAGGTATCTAGAAAGTCAGTTAAAATATCGCATTTGGAATAGGACAGAATTGTTAAATATTGAACTGAGAAAACACCTGAGATGCACAAACGACATGTATATTTGTATGTACGATATACACATACGTACAAATGGCTATCATTTTAACACCAGACCAGATTTTTTACACAGCCTCGAAAGTCGAAATACATTTTGGTAGGTACCTTTTGTTTTGTATTCCAAACCACTTCACAATGCAATAACAAACTTATTGTACACTAGCTATTGAGGCATTGGTTGTTATTGTTGGATGTGTTTTTTTGCAGTAAATTATCTATTGTATTTAAATTTTGTATTTATAGAAAATAATAACAATGGAGGTTGGGTTTGCAAAAGAAGGAAAAAATACAAAGTCAATATAATCAGCCGTTTTCTTGTTTTGTCAATTTAACAAAATTATAGTATATTTTGTCTAAATTCAAAATTCACTTTTAGCAACAAAGATTTACGAAGGTTTCTTTTTCGCTCGGGCACACAGGCACACACCTTTTAGTTTTCCTCCAAAATCAAATACAGGTACATACGTGCATACACATGAATTTGTAGTTAGGCTTTTAATTTTGGACCTTTTTTTTCTAAAAATATAAAGATTGCAACCGTGGCGAATAAATAACTCAGTAAATATTTCAATCTTACAATTATTTTCTTTTGTTTTTCTTTTTCTTTCGTATCTTTAGCACAAAAAAAGATAGAGCTTCCACAATAACACAACCATTTTTGTTTGAAAATATTTCTGGTTTGGCTGACTAATAACCCGACGAATACCCTCATAATAGAGACGGAGGAGACAAGCAAGTTAAAAAAGACACAACAAAATATTTGTTGGTTGCTTTTGTTCTCGATATTTTACAACCTAGCACTCACTCACTCATCGCAGGTCGAAAGAGAAATGTCGATGGGGCAAAGCAAAATACGAAAACTGTCAGATTACTGTGGAACATATTATACCGTAAGAGAGCAAATGTTGAAATGTTGCGAGAGCGGAGACAGAAACAAGATTTGTTAATGTGTATAGCAGTATAACACTATGGGGGCTAAATAGAAACTGTGTACTAGGCTGGTACGTTAAGTTAAAAGCCCGACAACAAGTTGAAGCAAACAAGTCAAATTGGTTTATATTGGGTTTTATAAAAAAAAAACTACGGCCAAAAATCAAGGAAATCGGACCGCTTAATTAAAAAATAATGTTTAAACATTAAGTAAAAAATAACTATTCAAGTACAAATAAACCTAAATTAACTGATCAAAGGAAAGAGTGTCGATAAAAATATCTCGTTTTGACAAAAATATTTGAATTTAGGGTCACTGTGTGGTTCTGCAACTGGTATGTGGCTTTTATACAGTAGCTAAAATCGATCGTTGATGACATATATGTGTCAGAGTGGACAGCTAGGAAAATATCCGAGGGACATGAAAATATCCGCCAATCCGAAGAATGCCTTATCACTGCGGAGATGACAACACAGCTCAATGTGCGATCGAGGGGCACATAATTCCGAGCACTTGAGGTTACATTCGAAAGCATGTTCAAGTCGTCCGCGCAAGCCATAGCTATCTGCGATAAGTTGAAAAGAAGGAACAAGTTCCTCAAGGCGCTAACCGGCAGCATAAGGAAGGCTTATTGACCTCTTATAAAGCGATAGGTTGGTCTATGGGCGCCAGTGTGGTCTGCGAATACGAGTACAACGCATAGGAAAACTATTCAGACCTGCCAGAATGACGAATTGAGAACTGCAACAGGGTGTCTCTTCATGACTCCTGTGGACCATTGACATGAGCAGACGAAGGTTCTTCCCTTACTCAGCATAATCATATGCTTTCGTTGCAGTACCTGTTTGGGTGTTACCGCGGAGTCATCCTAACCATTATATGGTGACAGAATTCACCCATCTAGTTGTGTCAGGAAGGACCTGCATGATCTAGAAAAAGAGGTTCAGCGATACAAGAGAGAGTCTCTAGATCAGGAAGCCTATCAAGGTGGTTTAAATAGCATTCATACTGAGACAGTCGTTGATGTAATTAACCATTATTTTATTAACCATATTATTCCGTTAGATAGTGTCATTAAAATCTTCAAAATAGCGAATATGTGGAGGTACAATTATATGGGGGATACATGAAAATGTTGACAGATATATCTCATTTTCGAACTTTACCAGCCTGTATAACTTATTACAACAGAAGGACGGACTAAGGTAAATCGTCTTAGAAAAATGATTACAAACAGAAGCCGTATATACCACCATACCATACATAGTATTTAGTGGAGGGTATAAAATATTGTGATATATAATATTATTATATATAATATTATTTTGAAATTATTATTGAGCTAACAATGTAGATATTTGTCTTTTTAGTTTTCCTCGAATTATCGATGTACAGCTTTAAATTAAATAATGCCACTTTATATTGCGTTTTGTTTCTAGGAAACAGAGATAAAATTAATAATATTAAATAAAAAATCAATAACTTTCATGGGGTGGGTTTGTGCAAGTGTCATATTTCATGAGAGAAATACAAATTAAATTGACCTAGTCCTTTGGAAGTAAAACAACGAGGATAACAAAAGGCACAATCCACATGTAGGTAGTAGAACCAAAAACACACAAGGAGAAAATATTAAAAGGCTCTGAGAGTTTTGTTTGCGAGTAAAATATATAGTTACGCTCATCCTTGTCTCAAAACTCTCCTTCCAATTTGACTTGTATGCCAATGTATAAGAAAAAAAAAAAAAAAAAAAATATTAAATTAATAATAAAGACGATTATTAAGCATTCAATTTAATTCTAGAAAAATGTAGTTTTTTAATGGGGTGTTGTGCTCTTTAAACAGAAAAAAATAACGATGAATATTTGCTGATATACCTACAGTTTTGGGCACAAATCATTGTCCACATGCATAGAATGAGGAACAGGCAATAATTTTCAAGACGCAATTGCAAGTAAAATGATCTACATTTCTTTTCAATAAACAATATTGAATTTCCCACTTTGAGTTTGTTGGTCATTTAATTTTGTTTTTTTTTTTCGTCATTTTCACTAGACATTCGCAATTTCCACAATTGAGATATTTAGTTTTTTTGTCATTTCGTTTTCAAGGTACTAGATTTTATTTATTGAACACTTACACATAGTCACTGGATTTTTTGAAACTTTTTAATTTTTCCTTTCTCTAGTAGAGACACAGACAATTAATATAAACAAAACAATTCCAAGCAACAACAGTGATTACTAACTATATTCTATAGTAGTATGTATGTATGTAGGTACATAGAAAATAGAAATGTCGGTCCTCTATGTATGTACCGCACCCAAATGGAATAAATAACAAAGTACAACTGAGCGAAGAATGCCTTATCATATTTTCGCTAAACCTAAAGCGGAATGTAAATCAGAACACACAACAGTGCGCTGCTCATTTTACAAAAGAGTTCTGTCTAGGTTTCATTTTCTCAGTATAACAAAAACACACCAAATAAGAGCAATTCGCATTTAAGAGAGGGAGAGAGAGAACACGGTCAAAGAAGGCATTGTTTATAAGAGAGTCCTTTCATCAGAAATGTAAACAATTCGGCGGTGGTGCAATAAAACAGAACAAAATAAGCGACTATAGAATTCGATGATTCCATCCATGGGTTCAGTCCGAACCGTATATTGGGGGATTGACAAATTTGCTACAATTGTATCTTTTATAAGTATTAGCAAACAAGGACAAACATCTCAATGTGAATACCTGTAAATTGTTTGAACTCTTTTATACACCGAGGACAATTCTGTGACGATAAAAGAAAACTAAAACAAGACATTTGCAACCATTTCATCAATGCCATGTCCTTCGTAAATTACTTTGTAAGTAGTTGTATTAGGCAAACCCTTTATTGGCAATGTGTTTTATATGGAAATTGAAATAAAATGTCTTAAGAAAATTATAGGCGTTGAACATTTCCATTGAAAATTTTGTATTTTGTGGGTACAAAAATTGTAAAAAAAAACTCAATTCATCATCATTTACTAACATTTTGGCTAAACAGTAAACATCCAGTAAAGATTCGTACAATTTATTACTAGAGAACATATAATACCGGCTAACTGCTAGCAATTTTGGGGATACCGTTATATGGATCTACATCGGACATTGCCAGGATGTGTTACACTTTGAAAGTGTCAAATCACAGTCACATTGGCTAAAAAAATCTTCAAAATACATATTCCAATGTCGGTCCGATATAGCTAATTTTTAATACGAAAATTTTAATATATCTAAAATCTGATGCCAATCCCCATTTCCACCATTAATTTTTGCAACTATCTAACGTTCAAGCCCAGCAACCATTGTCTCAAACAACTCTCTCTTAAACATCCACATTTTGAATGCAGTGAATTTTTGCTGCAACAACCACACCACGAACGTTGTTGTTATTAAATGTTATTGGATTGGCGGGTAGGTGCAACAAAGAGATAGAGTGGAGCAGACATTGAGCGTGTTTTGCACGTTTTCAGAGCATGCCGTGGCGAATTGTTGTTCTACTTGTTTAATCAACTTTAGTCGTTGTTGTTCTTGTTGTGTTTTCTGCATCTGAATTGTGGAATTATATTCCACTGCAATTTTCTCCCAATCAAACATGTGGAATTGAGAACGCAGCAAAATGGGTTAAAGATCAATGCGGTCGTGGGGCATTGTAGAAGAGCGTTGCTTCAATGTCAGAGTTTTTTTTTTGACAATTGAGCAAAAAATTAAGGTAACATTTGACGGGGTGTTTTTAGTTGTTGTCGCACAATAAAAGGTAAATCGGACGAAGATATACATGGGAGCTATATCCAAATCTGAAACGATCTCGATAAAATTTAGGAAAGGTATTTCTGTGCTGCATTTGATTATATTCCCCCAAATATAGTTGTTT